TGTCTCCTTGTTCCTGTGACCACCATTAAAGCGCCTGGGACTCCCCTTAATGCTGTATCCCATTACAGCTGGGCCACCAAGATGGCACTCTGGGCCTCTGGCCTGTCTGAGATCACCTCTATGTCAGAAGTGGGCCCTCCCCTGCAACCCCATCGTACCTGGGCTGGGACCCCTCAACAGCATTATGTCAGTATTGGACCCATGCCTGGGACCTCCTAAGGCCACCCCGATGGCCTTTCTGGGCCTCTTCATACGTGTCCTGGACTCGCTATTACTGAGTTACTCACATTTCCTCCGAGTCACCAACAAGCCAGAGCTAGACCTCTGACCCTCTGCCACAGAGACCACCATTAGGCATGAGCTATGCCCCCTCGCCGACCCTATGGCGACCCACTGTGGCTGGGACTGCATTCAAAGCACAGCTGAGGTCTCATTCCCACCGTGTTTGGCCTACACCTGTGTCCCCCTTTTCTGACTGAGATTCCCCTTGTGGCAATTTGGGGTCCTCCTCTTAAAGATGCCATGTTTAGCTTAGGCCCCATCCATGTCCCTAAAACCTCCATCACGCCTGGCCTGAGTCCAAGTCCCTTTTTGCCCCCAAAGGCACCATCTAGACTCCTTTCCCCCTGGAATCTTGATTATGGCTGAGCCTGGATCATACCCCTTTGCACGGCTGAACCCTGGCCCTGTCACTCACCCAGGAAGCGGACCAGCCTTCTCAGTGGGGGGCTGAAGCGGCAGCAGGCCCCAGACACGATGGTGCTCTCCCCAATGATGGGGATGGCTGAGGGTGGTGTGGGGAAAAAGGCACGTGCCAGCTCCCCCAGCAAGATCTGTGGGCGAGACCAAAACAGGGTCTTCCTGGCCTTCAAGCCCAGCCTTCTACCCACCTCCCCCTGATCTTCCTGCCTCCCAGGAGGTTCTCCCACCGTCGCCAAGGCTAGCCCCAGTCTCACCGTGAGGGTGGGCCCAGCGGTGACCAGAGCATAGATAAGTGCAGGAGGTGCTCGGCTGGCAGCCTCGGGCCCCGGATAGGGCTTGGCATAAGTACTGTCATAACAGAAGAAGCCCTGGGTGTGCACAGGAAAGGTGTCTGTGAACTCCAGGCGGTAAGCGAGCAGGACCACCACACCCAGCAGCACCGACTGCGGCCCAGCCAGCACGGGAGGAAGATGGAGAGAGACAGAGAGAAAAAGAGAGGAGGTCAGGCCTGAGCTGGGAACATGGAGAGATACACGCACACAGAGACGTGGAGAGAGACAGAGCCAAGGGGGAGAGTGATCAATACTGTGGAAGATAAAAAGAATTCAAGTGACAGAGAGGTGGGGAGCGGGGCCAGAGAAGTGTCAGGGTCTGGGAGACACAAAGGAAGAGATGGAGATGGAAACAGAAAGAGGGTGAAGACAGAATGGAGGTGAGAGGAGAGAAGGAGGGAAGAGAAGACGAAAGGGAAAGGGCTCCAACAGAAGAACAGAAAGAGAAGGAAAGAGGAAATGGGATTAGGGCGAGAGAGTGAGGATGTGCCTGAGATCTAACCAGAGAGACATACAGACAGTGGGTGATGGAATGACAGGGCGCCAGGGAAAGGACGGACACTCCGAGGGGGACCAGCAGCTACCACAGGTACAACCCTTACTGTGGGCACGGTGTCATACTAAGCCTCTTCTGTGAGGGAGTACATTTTACCTTCTAAATATGCCTATTTGACAGAAGTGGAAACTGAAGCTCAGAAGGTTATAGGACATGCCCAGTCCCAAAGTAAGGATGGGGAGAGTGAGATCGGAACCCTGGAAGTGCCACGTCTGAGTCCAGGCTGAGAACCACATCTCAAGAGAAAGGGAACTGTGTTCTCACCCCTGACCCCGCCCCCGCTGCCCAGAGACAGGGCGTGGGAGATCCAGGGGAGAGAAGACAGGACTGGAATCGGGGAAATAGAAAAATGAGCCTAGGTAGGGACCTGGCAAGGATGCAGGAGACGGAGGTTGGGCAGAAAGGGGACAGGACGACAGGTACACCCTCTCCCCATTGAGGGTCTGAACAAGGTACTGGGCTCCTCACCTCCACGAAGACAAAGCAGGGAATGATGGAGAAACTCCTCTTCAGCTGAGGCCTCCCTCCCGCCATGGTGAAGGCCTGTGGAGGTGGGGAGGGAGTGGAGCGGCCAGCGTGGGGCCTGGGGGGGGGGCCTAGGGGAACTGGCCCGGGAAGAGTCCTCTGGCCACTCCCCTGCATGTCCAGGTCTAACCCTGCCACTGCCCACGGGAGACACTAGCCTCCCCTGACAGGATCTGCTCAGCTCAGCCTATTGCAGGGTGGGGGAGACCCCAGGAAGAGAGATCCTCTAGGGGTCTTCACCCCCTACAACCTACATAGGATATTCTGACCCCGTACCTTTAAGGAGGGACGCTCCTCCTTACCCAGCAGGACCCCTCCCCTTGGCCTGTAGAAGAGAATTCTCCAGCTTAATGGGGACAGCTCCCTCATGGAGAGGAATCCATTTAGAAGAGTCCTTATCCCCCACCAGTTTTTAGGGGACTCCATCCTCTTTCCCCACAGGCTTTACAGAAAACCCCATGTTCCATGTCCCCCACCCCTGCCAGACCCCTCCCCTGAGCCACTTCCCCCATGGCCCCCAAGGGCCTTCCTCCTGTCCCTGTGGTTCATGGCTGATGGCCCGGCCCTCCTCTCCCAGCTGCCTCTCTGTCCCCACCTTCGTGCAGCCCGTTGGCCTCTGTGTCCTCAGTGGCTACCTGCCCACCACGCGCTCCCCTACCCCCAGCACTGACAGGCTAACAGTCACAAGTGTGTGACCCACTCTCACAGCCTGGCCTCACCTGTGAAAGAGCCCTATGGCTTCCCACAGGCGGCCACCACGCCCGTGGGCTCACAGCTGCTCCTGGAAGCCAGCAGGGCGGTGACGGTCACCCCCATTGCAAAGATGCGGAAACCGAGGCGCAGGCAGGTGAGGGGAGGCACTCTGGGTCCAGTGCTCCATCCACGAGGCTTGCTCTTCAGGTGTGACATGTAGGGTGAGGTTTGCTAGAGGTCCCGGGTGTCTACCCGGCCACAGCCCCATCACTCTCCCCAAGACACAATCACCTGCACTGGTACCCCCAAAGTGTACAGCTCAGCCACAGCCTCCATGCCAATCCCGCCCCCCACACGCACACACCATGGCCCACCATTCACCCATCTCGCCCGCATGGACCAGGTAAGCATCTGCTGCATTCCAGGTACTGTGCTGGGTGCCAGCCCTGTGGCGAACAAGACAGGTCCCCTCATTCAGACAGGTGCCCAACACCCACCACACACTTAAGTACATACTCATACACACACACACACACACACACACACACACGGCACAATGGGCACACAGGCCGTCACAGACACCCACACAGATCAAACAACTCTCCCCCCACCCCTGCCTAACACACAGTTACAGGGACACAACAGGAGGGACACAACAGGAAGTGCTCCACACACCTCATAGCTCCGCACGCAGCCCCACACAGCCCTCACCCCTCCGGGAAGTGGACTCATGGCTGCTAAGACACTTAAGAGTAACATCAAAAAGAGAGTCACCACCACACACAATGGGGGGGTCACAGAACCAGTCATAGTGTCACACCCCCAATTACAAGGCATTTAGTGACAACTACACACATTAACAGTTCACGTTGACAGCCACAGGAGAGACATGGTGGAGACATGGTGCTATCCACTACCACAATCACATGGCCACACAAGGGCACATACATGGACCATGACAGATTCACACACAGAGCCACACAGTCACACAAGAAAGGCGCATGATCACAGCCACACACTAGAATGCAAAAATGGCTCTCCCCCACACCATCAGAAGGAACACACAAGAGCAGCCACACAATGACACTCATATACACACAGCTATAGACACCAAGACAGTCACACAATCACAGTGATAGCCGTCACAACGACACAGCATCAGAGATACCCACGATGACAGCCACACAATGATGGCCACAGGAGACAGTCAGACACACACACCACACAGACACTCCAAAAGCCACACAATCACAGCTATAGAGACACACAATGACAGTTACACAACCACACACTGACACATAATGACAACCATACAGTCCTGGTCACACACCACCGCCACCGCCGCTTGGCTTCTCAAGCCCGGGGTCTCCTCCCCATGCTCCCCTCCCCCAGCTCAGTCCCCAAGCTCCAGCTCCCTGCTTCCCCTCCCCCTCCCCACACGCGACCCGCAAGAGACCCGACCAATGGGATCCGAACCCCAGCCTGGACAGACAAACCGAGGATCGGAAGCCCATGAGACGGGGTACAGGGGGAGCTTCAAGCCCCTCCCCCTCACCGAGTCAAGGGTGCTGTGCCTAAGCTCGGGTCCTGCCTAGACGTCACCAGCGAGGCGCAATGGACAGACTGACGGCTGGCCTGGCCGGCAGGCGGACACACAAATGAAGATCCAGTCGGTCGGTCCGGCTCCTCGCGCGCAGACTCCTCGGGAAGCGAAGGGCGGGGCCTCCAAGCTCCTTATTTGCATAACACCATGGGCGGGGCCTCGCGACGCTCATTAGCATGATATGAGGCGGGGCCTTGGCTGTTCTTCAGGGTGGGGCGTGACAGAACTGACGGGGGAAATAAAGGCTAGAGTTGAGCAGGAGGACCCTGGGTGGGGGCAGGTGCTGAGAAGAAGAGGGCGGATTATCAGAGTGTGACCCAGGGTCACCACACTCCTCTGGGCCTCAGTTTTCCCATTTAGACAGTAGGGGCAGCAGTGCGAAAACAGCCTGTCTGGCCACTCATATCTGGACAGACCAACCGCTGACCTGTCATATACTAATCTGCCTTCACATTGTCCCCTGACCCTTGGCCCACACATCCCAAACAGCCCCTGGGGCCTCCATTCTCTCCCCGACATTGGGGAGGAAATGAGGGTGGGTCATTCTCAGACACAAGAAGCAGCAGGAGCAACAGTCCACAGGAGGAGGAGGGTCTCGGCTAGTTTATTTTCTCTCTGGAGGGGTCTTCGGGGAGAGCAGCCCCTGCTGCTCAAGCTGTGGGGAGAGAAAATGGGTAAGGGCCAGGTCTAGTCCAGGGACCCCAGGGCTGGTGGGCAGGAGCCCGGGGTTGGGCGCTGGGGGGGCCCGTGCTGTGGGATTCCAGGGCTGGCTTCAGAGGGGTAGGGTGGGTGAAGCGGGAGAGGAAACACACCCCGTGGGAAGGAGTGGCTTTTGCTGAATGGTGGCTGGGAAGGGTCCTGGTCTGAGTCGGTGTCCGAGTCCCAGGAGGGGTGCGGGGGGCTCAAGCATCGGTGTTCCTTGTAGCCTGTAGGAGGAACAGGTGCTCTTCTGGCTCTCCTTGCATGAACCCTGAATGTGACTCTGCATATGGGTCAGTGTCCCTTGATCATGTCCCTTGAGTATAACTCAATGTGATACCAAAGTATGACTTCAATGACCTTTGAATTTTACTGCAATGGTCCTTAAAAAAGACACTGGTGACCCTGAGTGACCCCTGGATGAAATCACCAGGGACTCCTTAATGTGACCCCAGCTTTAAACCCAGCAGATGTGACCTCCAAATATGGGGTATAGGGGGATTAAATGGTAATGGGAAAAAATACAATAAAGATTAAATTTTAAAAAATATGGCCTCTGAACATGACCTCCATGTGTGAAGTTGAAGAATGACCTCCCCACCCTGGAGTATGGCTCAGCCCCCCTCACCCCTGAGGCTCGCAGCTCTGGGGCGGACCCCCGAGGACATGGTGAGGCCATCAAAGGAGTTCTGCAGCATGTGCACAGCGGACCTGCAGAAAGATGGGGACAGTATGACTCTGGGCTACTTGAGGCTGGGGCAGGGGTGCTGTTGTGGGGGACAGGGGCAGAAGGGAGTCCTGGCTGGAGATGGATGTCTGGACTCAGACAGCTTCCAGGTTCTGGTGATCACGGTTTGATCAGATTGGTAGCCGGGCGGGGCAGATAAGGGTCGGGGCCAGAGGTCAGAGTGGGAGCTGGGCATCACCATATGTCACTCAGCTCCTTCTGGAGGTCATCCCTCCAAGAACCATTGCCTCCTGATGGCATCTCCTCTGTTTCCAGCCAGTTGGATGTTTCACACCCCTGCTGTTTCATCTTGGTCAAGACCTAGGGCCCAGAGAGGGGTGGGGGTGATGAGAGAAGTAATAATAACAATGAAGAGTAGTAATAATAACAATGATGTAAGGTGACCATTAAATAAATGGCACTTATTTCATGTCAGGCTGCCTTCAAAGGGCTTAAGAGTTCATGCAGCTGCTTCTTCAGGCAGGGATGTGTTGTTATACCGATTACACACATGAGGAAACTGAGGCCCCAGAGAGGTGAAGAAACTTGTTCACAGTCACACAGCAGTAAGTGGCAGAACTGAGATTTGAGTCCAGGATTTCTGGCTCCAATCCAATGATGAAGGCTGGCAGAAATCCTCATACCTCCAACCCCCATGGGGTCCCGGTCCCGCCCCCTCTCACCTTGCGGCACTTCACCTGGGTCTTCTGCATCTTCTGGATGTTCACCAAGTTCTCAGTGATCTCTTCCTCCTGTGCCTCTGTGAGGGGAAGGGACTCAGGAGGGCCAGAGAGCAAAAGGACAACTCCCCACACCACACCCCCAGCTGTGGGCTCCAGGCACTCACGGAGCTTCTGATAGATGAAGGTCACCTCCTCCCGAACCAGCTCCAGCTCCTCCCACAGGAATTTCTTGCTGAGGGGATAGTGCAGCCTAGACCCACAGCCCCTGCCCAGGCCCTGGACTCCTGGCCTCCCAATTTGCCCGCCTGTCTCCCCAAGCTTCCTCCACTTTCCATATTCCCATCTGTTCAACCACACAACCCCACAGGCTCCGGCTCCTCCCCCAGCTGCCCACCCACATTTCCCCTCCAGCTACTGTTCCCCCCCCTTTCCTCCTCAGCCCTCAGTCCTCTCCTCCTAACCTCCAGCCTCCCATTCCCTCAGCCTCCTATTGCCCGGCCTCCATCTCCCCACCTTCTGCCTTCCTGACCTCCCACATCCCCAGCCTCTGCCCCCCTCAATTTCCCCACCTCCCAGCTTCCTGATCCCCTGGCCTCCCTCCCATCCCATCTCCAGCTACCTGTCTTCCCTGCCTTCTGGCCTCTCCATCCACACTCTCCCGCAAACACAATGTCTCCTGCCTTCCCCCCATCATCCCGGCCTCTTGTCTCCCAAGGCGGCCATCCCCCTTACTCAGGGCTCTCCCATTCCCCCATCCTGGCCTTCCTTCCCTCCCAAGGCGTTCGGGCTCTTGATCTTGCAACACCCACCTGTCTCGGATCTCCTGGGCCAGCAGCTGCAGGCAGCGGGTAGTGCGGGCCCGCTGCACCTCCTCACTGTCCCGCAAGGTCTTCTGCAGCCCCTCCAGGCCTTGTGCCAGGGCCCCATACAGCTCTTGCTGTCCCTGCTCCATGCCCCACTTGTGTCCATCCTTCTCTGTCTGCCGGCTCGTGGGGCACAGGACTTCTACAGAGACAGTGGCAACTTGACTGAGGCCCAAACAAACCAAGCTCAGCTTTGAACCCATCTTGCTTTAGCCTGGCTGGATCCTGACCCTGAATCCAGACTCATCCACTTCTCTCACACGGACCCAGCTGACCCTGACAGCTCCCAGCCTGACCTTGACCCTAGGCCAATCCTCACCTTCAAGCTGTTGGATCTTGATTTGTTGCAGGCAGCTCTCCTTCTCCAACATGGTCACTGAGTGATTTAGGAACTCGAAAGCCTGAGGGGGAAGAGGTCATGCCTAGAAGTGGGAGGGGGACAGAGGACAGGGCCCGAGGATGCTGGAGGCAGGGCTGGCTCAGGGGGCTAACCTTCGTCTGGGCCTGTAGCTGGTTCTTGAGTGCCTCCAGTTCGCATCGCAGGAGCTTCTGGGTGTCAGGAATCATCGTTGTGGACTTAACTGTGAGCAGAGTTATGGGTCAGCCAGGCTGGGAAGGGTACGGGCAGGGGCAAGTTCAGGGCAGTGGTCAGCAGAAGCTCAGCGTGGGGGTAAGTCAAGGGGCAAGGTCAGGAGAAGGAATCCACTGAGCCTGAGGTAGAGGCAGGAGTAGGGGTCAAGGTCAGAGACAGGGATGGAAGGCAAGGTCAGGGACAAGAGTCAGCTGATGCTGGGGCAGGACTGAGTGGGTAGCAACGGAAGGATTTCACAAAGGCTGATGCAGAGGGTAGAAGTAGGAACAGCAAGTCTTCCACACACAGTCTTGTTGGGAGGGAGGGTTCTCACCCTTGGCTTTGGAAGAGCTGGTCTCCAACGGCTTCTAGGGTAGAGGAATATGAGCGCAGTAGAAATTCATCCGGGGACTGCCTCCTTGCTCACCCCAACCCAGTGTCGGGGCGGGGGTAGTTTGGAAATGAGTTGGGTCTGCTGAGTTCTGGGTGTCCCAGACCCTGAGTACAGGCAAAGCGGCCTTGAGGCACATGTGTGCATTCCTCCCTGGCCTGGACATGCTCAGAAGTGCACTTATGTGGCTGTTACTCTGCATGTGTGGGCCTCCGGGCTGCCCTGGAGAGCACGCACATGCAAAGCCCTGTCGCTGGCCTGGGATCAGGAAATGGCCCTCCTCCTTAGGGGCAAACGACATTGACAATGTCTGCAGGCAGCACCAATAGCAGTCACACATAATCATGTCTAATCCCACAACAACTGCAGCCACACAGACTCAACTTCGGACACAGCCAAGTACTCAAGTCGTTAAGACTCAGGGCACTCACTCATACCCATCTCTGCTGTAATAACCAGACACAGACACATAGGCAGTTATACCCAGAGACAATTATAGACACGACTCCAGCAAGGCACACAATCCCACATCCATTCCATTCATTCCCTCATCCATTAAGACATTTTCACTGCAGGCCTGGCGAGTGCTGGGAGGTGTTCTGGGTGCTGAAGACACATGGTGGGAGGGTTCTTGAGGAGGACTCCCCTGCCCCCAAAACCCCCTCCCTGAGCCCCACAGCAATAGACTGCAGCGCCGGCGCAGGAAGGGGTTTCCCGGGTGGGGGTGACCTTAGTGATGCTCTGATGCCTCTTCACAAGTTCCTGGTCATTACAGTGCTCCTGCGAGGAGTCTGAGTTGAGGAAGGGGGGAGACCCATGTGACCGAGGCCCTGAGTCCCTCCCTGGCTTCCAATCTATACTCGTCACTGTGTTCTCTGAAGCAGCTGGCCCCAAGGTCTCTGGTTCCGGGGTCCTGGACCAGTGAATTGTATAGTCCAAGGTCTTGTCTGGGGAAGTGCCTGGGGATGGGTGAGTGAGGGCTTCCTGAGGGCCAGCCCAGAGCACTCCAGCCCCTCCCAGCTCCCCAGCCCTGAAATAGCCCCTCAACGAACCCCAGTACTTGTCACACTTCCCGTGAGCAAGCAAATACAAGTTGGAGGACGAGGGAGATGAGCAGTAGCAGGGCACAGAGTAGTCAGGGTCCCGGGGTATGCCGGCCAGAAGAGGGTCGCTTTGAGTAGGGAGGACAGGGGGCTGCACTGAGACCAGCCCCCATGTCCTGACACTCCCAGACCCTCCCTGACACCCCAGAGAGGCCTCCTTAATACAGGGCCTCCAGCCCTGGTAGAAGCAGGAGGAAAGATAATCCCAGCCCCAGGGGCTGCGTTGGGCAATGAGAAGGACCCAGAAGACCCCACAGGAGAAAGTGAGGCCTCAGAAGAGTTTAAAAGAAAAAAAGATCTCGCCCCAGCTTGGCTACTGTGGCTCAATGAACTGAGTGCCTGATTGCGAACTGAAAGGCTGCCAGTTCGGTTCCCAGTTGGGGCACATGCCTGGGTTGCGGGCCAGGTCCCCGGTTGGGGATGTGTAACCGATTGATGTATCTTTCAAACACTGATGTTTCTCTCCCTTTCTCCCTCTCTTCCCCCTCTCTAAAAATAAATAAAATCTTGAAAAAAAGAAGAAAAAAAAATCTTAACATTGGGTCCTATAGGAAGAGCATTCCTGGTAGGAAACAGCACGTGCAAGAGCTTGGAGATATGGAATCGTGTGCTCTGTGATGGTAAATTCAGGTTGGAGGCAGAGTCCAAGAGGAAGCAGCTGGGCGGCTTAAGCAAGGCACTGAAAGCCAAGCAGGGGAGTTAGGACCTGGCTCCCCAGGTAATGGGAGCCAAAGTGTATGAACAGGAGACGCAGGGCATATCTAATCAATAAAGTAGCTAAACTGGGGTCCAGGCCCATAGTAGGTGAGGCTGGAAACAGGAAAGAAGTCAGCCCTGGGTTTCATATCCACAGCCCCGCCGCCCCCTTACCTGCCCTTTCAGTATAGTTAGGGCTGGCACAGAGTCACCTGAGCCAGGGGGGTGTCTGGAAAAGCTTCCAGGTGAAGGGCATCTTGCCCTGGGTCACACTCAGCCAGAAAGGCTGCACTCTAGGCCTTTCTGTTCTGCCCTGGCAGAGCCCTCTGGTGCCCTTCCTCTGCCCACTCCTCCTATAAGATTCCTATATACCCTTCAAAACCTCATTCAGCATTTCCTCTGTAAAAGTTTCCTTAATCCTTTTTTAAGCTCATATTTTCTGAGCACCTCCTGAATGTTGGGCACCACCCTCAGCACTCATTGGGTCTTTTATACCCATTCTGTGACAAAGGAGTTATTGTTCTGCCTGAAGTGTTCTGGACTACTTTTTCTAGAGGCACCCGACACCCTCCAGCTGGATGGCTTGGGTTCAAATCCTAGCTCTGCCCCTTCCCAACTGTGCGATGTTGGAAGAGTTACTGAACCTTTCTGAACCCTTCCCTGCCTCAGTGTCCCCAACTATAAAAATGGGATGTCATACTCCCATATTATTGAGTCGTTGTAATTAAGTAAATTAATCCACACCAGTGCCTAACATACAGTAGTGGGAAGGAAACTCAGTGTATGTCCTTGAATGTCACGCCGAGAACTTGGGACCTGGGGACCATAGGAGCCCTAAAATGATTGGAGGGGGAAACGGATGACACTCGGAGTGCCAACTGCAGGCAGATCCCCGGTCGAGCCCCCCTCCCCCTCCCACATCAGTCGTTCCTCGCGAAGTCCCTCCCGGGAGAGTTCTTGGGGTGGGGGCGGGGTCATTACCCTGGGCCCCGTCCCTCGGACCGTGAATCCTGCACCCGTCCGGCTCCGGACTTCTTTCAACCCCCACCTACCACATACCACCTGCTCATGCTCTCCCATCAGGGGCCGCGAAGCCAGTCCCCAGCTGTGACGCTGAAATTTGATCCTGGGGGACACCATCGCTTTAAACCAAGAGGAGCCCAGAGGCAGTCACAGAGAGGGGTGGGGCTGGCTTTTAGCTCCGCCCCCGCCGATGTAGCCTGAAGCTTCTTCAGCGCCTTTCCTCTTCCGCAGATCTTAGGGGACTCCGTGTAATTGGATAAAATCGAGGTGAAGGGGCGGGATTTTCGGCTCGTTTCTGCTAGTCGATTAGTCAGTATCTAATAGGGCGGTACAAGAGGCGGCAGGTTACGATTGGATTGGCTTCGCGTACAGCAGGGAGTCGGGACGAGTTCTTGGTCCCTCAAGGAGAGGTGGTGGAGGAGGTCCGCGGGAATAAGATATCCAGTCTTGCCCGCCTGGTACCGGAGATCCGGTCCCGGCGTCTCTGGTCTGGTTCTTCTGGGTGTTGCGGGTTGAGGTCCGGATTTCTACTGTTGGGGTCGGTGTCTTCGAGATGAGATTTGAGGGTTTTCCAAGACTAATGGAGTCTCGAAGGGTGCTTTGGGGATCTTCATAGCGGTATCTGCGATCTTGTTATGAAAGGAGCCTTTCCTGTTAGAACTGGGACCCCGAAGTGATATTTGGGAGTCACCGAGGTGATTTCTGAATATCTAGGGCTACGAGCTTGAGCTTCTGGGTCTGAAATTTGGGGGTGCTCGGAGGTGGCATGGATATTAGGGTACAGAGAGCCTGAGATCTTGAGGGCTAACACTTAGAGAGATGGGGTCGGGGGTTGTCGCAGGACTGCTGAGTCTTCCCCACTTCTATTCTTGGGTTGCTATCCCTAGATAACTGTTGGATTGGCCTTACGCAGGCTCACAGAGTCTGAAGGCCGTGTACCAAAGATAAAGCTCTGAGCTACCCTGTGCCTCCTTCGCAGGCGTGCAAGATGGAGGAAGGCGGGAACCCAGGAAGCCTGACTAAGGTGGTCCATCTACTGGTCTTGTCCGGGGCCTGGGGCATGCAAATGTGGGTGACTTTCGTCTCAGGTAGGGACCCTCTGTCTGGACGCCGTGGATACCCAGGGTGGGGACAGGCAGGAGAGGGAGACCTGGAGTGTCCTAACAGGCTAACAGGCGTGTGTCCCGTACACCCCACAGGCTTCCTGCTTTTCCGAGGCCTTCCCCGACATACCTTCGGTCTTGTGCAGAGCAAACTCTTCCCTTTCTATTTTTACATCTCCATGGGCTGTGCCTTCATCAACTTCTGCATCTTGGTTCCACAACACACCTGGGCTCAGCTCACATTCTGGAAGGCCAGCCAGGTATGCAGACTTGGGCTTCGCTACCCTCTGAAGACTCATTCTCAGGACCCCACTGAGCACCTATGGCCACAGCTTCGTGAGAATTCAAACAAACAAACGAATTGCCCCTTCTTCCTGGTGGATGCAAAGCTAGGCTCTAGACACCCCTGAGTAGTTCACAGGCTGTACAACCATTCCCAGCAGCCCTGTCTGTCACCCCATGGCTCTCAGCTGGCTGCTGCTCCCTCTTCTCCCTCTGGTCGGGCCTGCTGCCAAGCTGTGGTGACTCAGCTGGGCTGGGGCACTGACCCCAGCTCATTGTTTAAAAACTAGCCTGACTGGGAATTTACAGTCCCCCACCCCCATCCACACATATTCCCAGGCACCGGGCAAGGGACCTCTGGATCTCATATATCTTGCCCTCCCTCTGCCCCTATTGTGTTCCTCAGATGTGGGCAGGTAAAGCCTGACAGGGATTTCAAGAATAATCCCACAGAGACAGGAGAGGATTATGGGTAACCAAAACTTTAAGGACTCTTTCTTCACTCCTGTGAGCCCAATGTCAGCTTCTGGGGTCTGGGCTGGGGCCACAGAGGTGATGGGCCCTGTCTTAGGCTCTCTGTTTTGGAGAAATGAGGGAACGGTTATTGTGCTCTGCCTCGATTTGGAAAAGAGAGTTTCTGCCCTGAGATACCCTCAGTTTATGGGAAGAGAGGAGAAGAGGAGACAAGGCTATGTTCTGGAAATGTCCAGTCTGGGTGTCCGAAGAGAGGAGGCTCGAAAATTTTTACGGGGATAGAGGAGACGGTGATACGGGGGTTTTCCGTCTGGTTTCAGGGTGTGAGAACTGGAGCTCTGGTTGGGGCCCCTAGGCTGGATTTGGGGAAGGAGGGAGGCCTAGCTTTGATCCAGTGCTGTCCCCCATCACCCTCTGAACTTTGAGGATGCAGAAGAACCCTCTGGAGGGCCCCTTCTGCCTCCCAGGCATGGCTCACCTTCTCCTTCCGCTACCCCCTCCAGCTCTGCCTGCTGTTCCTGAGCCTCACGCTTGCCACTGTCAATGCCCGTTGGCTGGAGCCCCGAACCACAGCTGCCATGTGGGCCCTGCAGACCATGGAGAAGAAGCAGGGCCTGGGTGGGGAGGTGCCAGGCCGCCACCAGGGCCCCGACCCCTACCGCCAGCTGCGGGACCAGGACCCCAAGTACAGTGCCCTCCGCCAGATCTTCTTCCGCTACCATGGCCTGTCCTCCCTTTGCAACCTGGGCTGCCTCCTAAGCAATGGGCTCTGTCTGGCAGGCCTCGCCCTGGGCCTCAGGAACCTCTAGCACTCACTGCCTCTTTGTCCCTGCTGGACCCCCAAATGTCAATAAACCCTTCTTTGGAAATGGCTGCTGTTATATTTCTCCAACTGAGAAGCAGGGGGGAGCGTGGTAGATAAGGGTGGAGCTGAGGGTTTCCATTTCCCCATTCACAAGGCATAATGATTTGGAGTGTTAAGCTATTGCAGCCCCTAAGCTCTTCCTATAAGTGCCCATTTGCTGAGCACCCACTGTTGCCAGACATGGAGCTAATCACTGCATGTTCCATATATTGTAATAATAACTGGTTGTGATCCCTAGGGGACAAGCATATTTCTCACCCCATTAATATTGGGGGCGGCTATGTGACTTGCTTTGGCCGATGAAATGTGACCAGAGATCCCACCAGTCATTTCCAAAGGGAAGGGTACAATGGTTCTCTCCTTATCCATGAGGGAACATATTCCAAGATCCCCAGTGGATGCCTGAAACCATGGATGGTACCAAACCCTATATATACTATGTTTTTTCGTATATGTGCATACCTTTTCAGTTAAAGCATTCTATGGCTTCTCTGGCATATCTGAGTTGCCAGCATCACTACTCTTGTGATTTGGAGCCATTATTGAATAAGGGTTACTCAAAACACCAGCACTGTGATACCACAACACTTGATCTAGTAAGTGACTAACAGGTGGAGAGTGCCCACAGCATGGATATGCTGGGCAAAAGGGGGATTCATGTCCAGGTGGGATTCAGAAGGATGGTGCCCCATTTCATTATGTTATTCAGAATGGTGCATGATTTTAAACTTATAAATTGTTTATTTCTAGAATTTTCCATGTGATAGTTTCAGACCATGGTTGACCGTGGGTAACTGAAACCATGGAGAGGAAACTGTGGGTAAAGAAGGACTACTACACAAGCCAGTGCATAATTCCCCACATTTTCCCTTCTGCACAATGACCAGCGTGAGTGAGAAGCAAACCTTAGGTGTTGGATGCCATGGGAGTTTTGGGACTGCTTGTTACTGAGCATATGCCAGCCCTTCCTGACTGAAGCATGTCACTATGTTCTTTCTCGTGGCAGTCCTTAGAGGCACCTGCTGTTCTCCTGAAGCAATGGGGTTCAGAGAAGTTCAGCAAGTGGCTTCAGGTGGAGTTGTTGGGATTTGAAACCAGCAAAGCCTGAACTATTTTAAGTGCAGATCCTCTCCTACTAGCATAAGGAAAACTCTAGGATCCCAAATAGGGCTAGAGGTGCCAAATTTTCTCACTGTGTGGCTGCCCCTCTCTGAGGCTCAGTTCCCTTATCCGTAAAAAAGGAATTAATTCCTAGGGCCCTTAAGAGTATTTGGCAAAGGGACCTAGCCCACTTTAGGGTCAGGCGCTGCAATGTGCAAACTAATTTAGACCAGAGCCTGCACACACCCTGTGAGGTGGAGGCTCTTCATCTCACAGGGTACTTGTATCAACCATTTGACTTTAGAGGAAAGTGAAGCCTTGAGAGGTTGGTTGGTTGGTTGGTTGGTTAGTTGAAGAGAGAGCAGGGGGAGGGAGGGAGAAAAAACATTGATTTGTTGTTCCACTTATTTATATACTAATTGGTTGATTCTTGTATATTTGCCCTGATCGCCATGGAATCTGCAACCTTTGCATATCCGGACCCTGCTCTAACCAACTGAGCAACCCGGCCAGGGCCCCAGAGAGTTTTTTAAGTAACTTGTCCAAAGTCACAGGTCTAGAAGCGGTGGGGCTGGGATTCTAACCTGCCTGCAGAATCCGCGTTCTCAACTGCTCTGCGCATAGTAGGACCTCTCTAGGTAGTTTGTTGAGGAGTGGGCTCCAGATCACTGCGCACTCGGGGCTGCTTCCAGGCCCTACCCCGACTTTCTACAGGCCCCGCCCCGGGCTCGGCCCCGCCCTGCCCTCCCTCGGGAGCCGCCCCTCCTCCCCGGCCTGGGCGGAGCCGGCTCGGGATCCGGGTGGCTGAGGCTAGCGGCGGCGGTGGCTTTCGCTGTGGGGTCGGGGTCGCGGTCGCGGCCGAGGGCAGGCCGCAGCGAGTTCGGAAGCGAAAACCCCGCAGGCAGCGACGCCACGCGAGGTGATCCCCTCGGAGGGAGCGCGCCCTGCCCCTCACCTCCGTGTCCCAGCAGGTCTCGGGGAGCAGGGGTCTTGGGGAGGCCCTGGGGGAACAAAGGCAGGCGGCTGGGGACGCCTCTTCCCTCGCCCCCACCCAGCTGGGCTCATCGGGGACGTTAATGGGGGCGCGGGCGGGGCGGAGAGCCCAGCTGGGAACTTGAGATTGGGACCATATGGCGATGGGAGGAAGCTCCTGAGCTCCCCTGCACTGGTGGGGCGCTCCAAAGCCAGCGAAGAGGGACGGGGCCAAGTCCCAGGATCCTTATCAAGTGCCAGGCGTGAGGGAGGATGGGCAGATTGTCAGAAAGAGGTGGGACCCGCTGACAGGTGGGCTGGGGATGAGGCGGGGGCTTCCAGGCTGGGAGCCCTGCCTCGCTTGGGGAAAAGCTTCCTGTCTCTGGTCTTCCCCTCAAACTCGTTCTCCCGGAACACGGGGTGGGGCTGAGGGCTGGGCAGGAAAGGGGGGCCGGCTGTGTCCTCCTTTAAAATGGAAAAAAGCCCCACAGGCAATTGAGAAAGAGCTTTGCCAGGGGTTCCTCTACGGGTGTGCCCTCCATTCACTCAGGTCTTCTGGAACCTACCTGTGTGGCTTAGGGAGAAGCCATAGACAGCTGGGGAAACTGAGGTCTAGGGAGGCCATGAAGGCTGAGGTGGTGTCTTGGACCCACATAATGCATCCCACAACAGGGATACATTGCCAGGAAAAAAAGGACCAGGAGTGCAGGGGAGCGGTGGTCCTGGCCGTGGGGTTCTTGATTGTTAGGTGACTGGGGTGGTTTCCTTCTGTTTGAGGATCATCACCCTGGCCTCCATGGGCTGGGGCTGGACTGAGTCAGCTCGAGATGGGCCCGGCCCATTTGATAAACAGAAGGTGGCATTTGGGGCCAGAGCTAGGCTTGTACCTGGGTTGGATCACTGAAATCCTCTCCCTGTGGGGATCGGGGAAGGGGTTAAATTTGGCTTGGGTGGGGGTAGAGCAGGCACCCTGGTAGTGGCCAACACCTGCCAAAGTCAACACCCAGGCTGCAAGGGGGGACTCTACCAGCTGGTAGGCCCCCCTTCCCCCAGCTCCGCACTGGCTGCTCACCAGGGGGCAAAGTCCACACCTGTACCTTCCACAGGGTCTGGTTCCTCAGCAGCCAGAGGAGGCACTCCATATGCCCCCCAACCTGGGCTCGTGCCTTTGCCAAACATCCCCATTTTCCAGAGGAGGACACTGAGTCCTGGAGAGAGCAAGTGATACATCCGGGGTCACTTGGCCCCCAAGAAGCGGAGCCGGTGTTTGAACCTAGGTACACACTGGAGCTGTTTCTTGTCTTTTATTTACCTACAGGGCTCCTTGCCGCTCCCCCAACAGGCTTCCCGCCAGGATGGCGTCAGCTGGAGACCCCCACGCTGGCCCACGTGATGCAGCAGACCAGAACTTCGACTACATGTTCAAGCTCCTGCTCATTGGCAACAGCAGCGTGGGCAAGACGTCCTTCCTGTTCCGCTATGCAGATGACTCCTTCTCACCTGCTTTCGTCAGCACCGTGGGCATTGACTTCAAGGTCAAGACTGTCTACCGCCACAACAAGAGGATCAAGCTGCAGATATGGGTGGGCCGGGCAGCTCTCTGTGGGTCTGCAGCCGGGGAGGGCCTGGGGTTTCTCCAGGGACATCCATGGGAGGGTATAGGGCTGTGGGAAGGGGCCCCGGGTGAGAGAGAGTAGCCCAGTCGGGGAAGGGGCATTGGGTAGGTGTGAAGAGTAGGGGAGTGTTATCTATGAGGGGAATTCATCAGAGTAAGAGGATAATGCCCTGCCCTGTGAGGTATGAGGGGGATTCAGTAGTAACCCAAGGCAGTTAGAAGTCCTGGTGACTAATGGAAGAGGAGTTTGGGTACCATGCCAGGTGTGAGCCCAGAGGCCCCCATTGAGCCTGCTGGGTGTCAGAGCCACCTTCTGGCCCCCAAAGCAGCTGTTGGTGACTATGGTAGCAAGCACCAGGGTATCTGGTCCAGATGATTCCAGTTTGTGGCCATTAAGTTGGTTCCTGGAAATGAGGTCAAAGGGGTTGTAAGTCTGCGAGAGGCACTGACCCTTAAGACTGGGAATTCCTCAAGGGCAGGATGAAGTCTCTCCCGTCAGATTGGAGCAGTGAGGGCAGGTCCATGTCTCCACCATCAGACAAGAGGGTTGCAAACAGCTCCATGTCTCTCCCATCAGACTAGGGATGTTAGCACATGACTCTGAAGGGATGCAGTGGGGAAGAGGGTGGCTTCTAGTCGGCTGACCCCCCTGTTCCCCAGGACACGGCAGGACAGGAACGGTACCGTACGATCACCACAGCCTACTACCGCGGAGCCATGGGCTTCCTGCTCATGTACGACGTGGCCAACCAGGAGTCCTTCACCGCCGTGCAGGACTGGTGAGTGCTTGCCGACCACTGATCCCCTGATCTTTGTTCTCTCCCCTGACCCAAATCTCTGGACTAACAGCCTTCAAACTCCACAGGGCCACACAGATCAAGACCTACTCCTGGGACAACGCACAGGTCATCCTCGTGGGGAACAAGTGTGACCTGGAGGATGAGCGTGTCGTGCTTGCCGAAGACGGCCAGAGGCTCGCCAATGACCTCGGTTAGTGCGCATCCCCCAGCTCAGATCCCAGGCCCAGCCACAGCCTCCAGCCCTTGGCTCTTCGAGGATCTGCCCGGCAGCATGCACCCATGCATGCTGCTTTCTCCACTTAATTCCAGGGGACTCCCCCGCAGAACCCCCTCCCTGACTGCTGCCCTGGGAACCCAGACTCAGAAATCTGTGTCTGGAAATTTACCCCACAAACATCTTCACCCATGTGGGAAGCGGCGATTATATCAAGTGGCAGTACTGTTAGTAGCAGGGGGAAACCTTTGCAACCTCTCAGATGTCTCATAGTGGAGGAAGCAACAGAACATAAAGTATACTCACGTGGTAGACTACTATGCAGCCATGAACAAGGAGGAGGGAGTTCTTTATGTTCTGCTATGGCAGGGTTTCTGGCTTACAAGGCTAAGTGGGAAAAGCAAAATGCAGAATAGCAGGTATGGCTACTTCCTTTAGTTCAGGCAGGGGTCAGCGAACAATTGCTTAAAGAGCCAGATAGGAAATATTTTTGGTCGTAGGATTTCTGTTGCAATTATTCAGCTCTGCCTGAAAGCAGCTGTAGACAATACATCAGCGGATGAGTGTGAATGCCAGGAAAACTTTGATAAAAACAGGCAAGGGGCCAGGTTTGGCCTGCATCTTGGAGTTTGCCAACACCTGCATTAGTGTATAAGAAGGAGGAGAATAAGGATTATCCTTTTAATTCTCATCCAATACAGAGTTGCCTAAAGGAACTCTGAAAGGATACAGAAGGATCTAGTGACTGCGACGACCTGTGTGTCTAAAAATGGGTGGCTGGAAACCAGGGTGGAAGAGGGATTTTTCCATTTATTTATATTCTTTTTTTAAAGATTTTATTTATTTACTTTTAGAGAGAGTGGGAGGGAGAAAGAGAAGAAGAGAAACATAAATGTACAATGTCCGTTGCCTCTCACATGCCCCCTACTGGGGACCAGGCACGTGCCCTGACTGGGAATCAAACCAGCGACCTTTTGGTTCGCCAGCTGGTGCTCAATCCACTGAGCCACATCGGCCAGTAGATTATCTTTTTGAATCAGAGGAATGAATTATCTATTCAAAATTTAAGCTCAATGAAAATCTTGTCATAGAGTATTCTAGTGATCTAGGCCACTTTCCTTACAGGAGGTGGCGTGACTACTGCAGGGCAGGACGGGTTAAGAACCCAGACTCATGCTAGAACCCCAGTCTGCAAGCCGCTGCTCTGTGACCTGGGACACATTACCTCCCCTCTCTGTGTTTCCATTTCTCCACCTAGGAAACAGGTGAAATAGTGTCTACTTCATAGGGCCGTGAGAAAGATTAAATAGGCAAATGCTGGCTTCGGTTGAATATTAACTCATATTATTTCTCGACCACTTTGTGATCTTGTATTGGTGACTCCATCTCTCTGGGTCCTCACTTCCCTGTGTGTCAAATGGAAAGAATAACAGCCCCACCTTACTGGGCCATCAAGGGGGTTAAATGAGTTATAACAGGTGAAGCAGTTATAGCAGAGTCTGGCACACGGGTAGGTTGCTTCTAAGTGTTAGTTGACATTATTGCGAGCTACTGTTTATGACCACATGTCAAACTCTTAAGCACCATATGGTCCTCAAAGCCTCAAATATTCACTATCTGGTCCTTTACAGAAAAAGTCCAGGGACCTCCGGACCATAACAGTCCCCTTGCTCTTTTTTCTTGTCGTCAATTTGTTGGAGAAACTGAGTCTTTGTTCTATGGAACGTCTTCCATTTGAGATGTGGCTCTTTGCTCCCTCATTTAACCTCTGTCCCTTGTTTAGCCTGGGTGTCATAACTGGGAGTCCTAGATCCCCAGTTTGCCTGGAACTGGGGAAGTCAGCCCTAATCCAGTCGTGGGCCGGGATGCTTGTGATGCTGCCCGCACCTTTCTGCAGAGAACGTCTAGTGACTGGGTTGAGGGGCGATTCCCACTCTGTCATTGAGTTTAAAATACCAGACTACAAAGCAAAAGTTAGAATTTGACCTCAATTTTGTAAAAAAACAAAACAAAACAAAACCACACGCACGCGTGCACACACACCCCCTACAAACCCAACAATTGTGTATTTGTATTTTTAAAACGTAGAAAGCTAAATATCAAAAACACCAACAGTAATTGTTTCTGGGTGATGAAATTACAAATAGCTTTAATATTTTTCTTGGTATTTTTCAACAGTGTCTAGCCTCTCTAGCAAATATTTGTGATGAGAAAAAAAAAGTATGATTTTTTTTTTTAAAAAAAAAGGACTCAAGATTGTTTGAGGCAGAGCCACACATGTTTAAGGAAATGCCAGATTTACCCAGGAAGACAGTGGGGTGACATTGATGATCACTCTGTTCAGAATAGAAAATCTGAATTCGTGTCTGGCCTCTGTCGTTCATTCATTATTCATTCATTCATCCAATCACTGAGCAAGCAGGTCCCCAGCACCTGCTCCATGCCAGGCATGGGCTGCAGAGAAGACCAGACAGACAGAAATCCTCTCCTCTTGGAGCTCATGGTCTAGTAGCGGAGATGGATAGGAAACAGATGATTACACAACTAACTATTGAATTACAGTTACTTTTTTATAGCGCAGCATGGTGAGCGCTGGGGCAGAGGCTCATTCACCCTGCCCAGTGTGTACTGTGGGGGGTGTTTGTCTGAATTTTTGGCCCATCTTGGCGGGTATGGCAGGTGGGGTCACATTGGGGACCTTTCAGGGACAGCTCCCTGCAGGTAGATCCTTAACCAACCTTTTAGGGGTGCAAGAAGGGTCGTCCCTTATTTTCAGGTTGACTGGCCACTTTTTGAGGGACCTTGGGTAAGTCCCTAAAGCATTTGTTCTACCTCCCCGCTTTGGGAGGGCAAACAGGTTATGATGTCACTAAGAATATGCTCAGTTAACTTCCATCCGTCCTCCCCAGAAGGAGAGGCCAGCCAAAACCCAAAGTGGTACAATAGGAATATTTATTATTATTTACTTGTATTTAAAATATTTATTTAATATTTATTAACTGTTGTTGTTTGAGCGGGGCAGCCTGGGTGTGAATCCTGGTCCTGCCCCATGTTACCTACATGAATTTAGATGACTAGTTTTCCCTTTCTGTGCCTCAGTTTCCTCATCTATAAAATGGGTTATAACACGAGGAAGCTCAGAGTATCATTAAAGGTGTTTATTTACGTAAAGCACTTAGAAAAGTGCCTGATAAGCACTCTTTATCATTATTATCATTATTACCATTTTTAGTGCATTCTCTAGGCCAGCGACTATGCATTGCACACTCTCCACAAACACTGGGAAACCTGCCGCTATCTCCCTGACAGAGGCTACGGACTGGTAGGCCCCCGGGCTGAAACCAGTCTTTAGCTATGTTTTATTTGGTCTTGAGCACATTCTCCAGAACATTTCAAAAGTCTACATAAACACCTAGCTTCGTGGACACCCTCACTGTACCTTCCTGTGCAATACGATTGGGTGGAAGGTAAGCTGCAGCCACCCATGGACACCCATGCCCTCTGGGCACCAGAATGTTACTACTTGGACTCTTTTTTGCAGCCGCTGCCTTGGGACAAAGAGATTCTTAGGATAGTTCAGAGCCAGGCTGCTGCCACAGGTTTTTATCTGCACGATTCCCCTTTTAGACAAGCAAACTGAGGATCAGAGAGACTAAGCGCTCAGCCAAGGCCCCACAGCTGCCTAACAGGCAGGACTGGGCTCGGAACCCAGATCTAGACGATGCCACAGCCCAGGCTATGCCCCTTAGGGTTTCACAGGTGTCTCCGCCTATGCCCCTCCAGGTTTTGAATTCTTCGAGGCCAGTGCGAAGGAGAGCATCAACGTGAAGCAGGTCTTTGAGCGCCTGGTGGACATCATTTGTGAGAAGATGAATGAGTCCCTGGAACCCGGCTCCAGCCCGGGCAGCAATGGGAAAGGCCAGACCTTGGGGGATGCCCCACCTCCCCAGCCCAGCAGCTGCAGCTGCTAGAGATGGTCCCCAGCCCCCCACCCACCCCCTCGGCAGGGAATGTGACTGAGGCATAAGCCACAAGGGCTGTTTCCAAGCTCAGGGCGCCCCCTTCCCTCCTGTCCGCTGTCAGTTGCCCCCCACTCCCCGCATGGCTCGTTTTCTCACTGAAGCTGCCAGCCCGTCCAAGCAGCCCTGTCACAGGCTCCGGACCCTGGGGACTCTGCATTAGAGACAGGGTCTGGGGATGTTGATGTGCACAAGCTTGCTGCTTTAGTGCGGGCGCATGGGCAGCCTGTGGGGCGTCCACAGTGCCTTCTGGGTTAGAGCCATTGTCCACATCCATTCTGAGTTAGGCATTGCCTGGAGTTCACGAGCGGGCCGGAGATGGTTTGCCTTCTTCCTCCTGGCTTGTGGGTTGTCAGAGTTCATCCCTGGGGATGTGGGAGGTGGCTCCTTGTTCAGGACCCCCTGCTCTGGTTCTGAGCCTGCCTACAAACCTCCTCTGATCTTGAGGCTCCAAGGCGGGGAAGTGACTTTGACCCCAGCAGACCCCTCCCTTCTGGTCTGCAGATCCTCTGCCTGTGAAAACAGTATTAAAGCAGCTTTACCTGTTGTGAAGGGATAGGGATATAGGGAGGGAGGGCCCCCCTGGCTTCGGGAGCCCCAGAAGTGCCTTCTGAGTTTCCCCAGGATTCCACAACACCCATGACCCTGCCACTGTTTTGTCTCATCCAAGGTGTCGCTGATCTGAGATTGAATTGTGGAGTTGCGCACTGTGTTAGGCCAGGCAGACTCGCCTTACTGCACGGCGCTTTTTCCAAGAGTTAGCCTCAGAGCCAGGAGCCCCAGCCTTTGCGCCCCAACCTGCCTCCCAGGGCCCATTTGGCTGGTGATGTTTTAAGCAAGGTCTTTCCACACCTTACATCCTGCTAGTAAAGGAAATTGAGCAATGTTCCCAGAGGCTGCCCTTGCTGGTGACCTTCTGATGTAAGGACTTGGGCTCCTTTCACTTGAGGATTGGTGAAGACCCAGTGTCCGTTTCCTGAGCCATGTCATCGGTGGGGCCCAGCAATGGGACCTTTTTTTTTTTTTTGCTAATGGAGGAGTCACTGTAAGGGATGTTTTGGGTTTGAGCCAGAAGAGTGAGAGGGGAGGGTTGTGTAACTGCGACGGCCACTGGCACTTCCTGATAAAGCTTGGGAGTGGCGCGCTGAGGAGGGATGGGCTGGGACCCATCTCCCTGACAACTCCCATCTCCGTGGGGGGCTTGGGCTCCCAGCTGCCCGTGGCTCCTGCTGGGAGGTTATGTGCAGTTTGGGGATCTGCCATCTTCACACGCCCCCGCCACAGCTCAGTGGCCCTTCTTGCCTAGCAAAGGCCAAACTCCAGTGGCGGACACCTTTCTGCCCTGGAACACTCGACACCTCATAACTTGACAGACACTGTGAGCTGCCTAAACAGATAGTTTGTGTTCCCGATTTTATTCTCCCAGCTCTTGCTGACAAATGACCTGAAGCCTTAAATTTCTCAGCCTCCTTTAGGGCATGGGGAAGGCCTGGTTCAAGTTTAACGTAGCTCTTACCTTTATAGAAGCTCTAGATTGAATCTATTTCGAGAGGGCCCTCTTTACCCCATACCAGGATCTGCCCTGAGAGTTTCAAAACGAGGCTACCTTTGTTGGGCAACAAATTAGAGGCCTGGTGAAATGGTCCGTTTCCTGGAAACACACAAAGTGAGAGGACCTGAATGTTCAGGGTGGGAGTCAAATATGTTAGTTGCTTTAACATAAAAGTGAAATTAAGTAGTTACAAGTCTTCTTAAGATGCACCATGGCCTGTCAAGACGATTGTCACCTCCCGGGTGATAAAGCCGGCTTTGGCTGTATCTTATACTGGACTCGGCCTAAGCTTTCTGTTTACACAAGATTTTTCAACAGTTCAGCTTCACGGAGCCACTGAGACAGCTAGCTGCTTCTGGGTTCTCTCAAGACTAGGAATAACGTAGGAGAATAATGTATTTTTTGTTTCTACTAAAAATAATGCAAGTTTTCACTTGATGATGTTTGGGGGGAGGTTTAACTCAGGCTGGTCTCTAGGACACAGACACCGTTGTCCTCCAGGATCACTGGGGGAGCGAGGTCTGTTTAGTTTACAAACAAAAGTTAAACCAAAGGCTATGGGGAAACCACCTTCCATCTCTAGAGAGACTGGCGTCTGGAGCTTTGCCTGAGGCTGGGCCCTGCATGGGTGCTATCCCTTCTTCCCCTCTGCTTTTAGAACTTGGGTTTTCACAAACAGTTCAGTGGGAAATTGCCATGAACACCATTGTTCGTTTGTTCCTTCTCTCTCTCTCTCTCTCTTTTTTTTTTTTTTTTTTGCTTCTCAAGGGATCATATTCTTGTGTCTTTCTCTCCTATTTGACTTAGAGAAACAAGTCAAGGGTGAAATTTGGTCTCGTTGTTGAAGCGCTAATTCCGCTAACTGGCTTCTCCCCCATAATCCCAAACACTACGGAGCGAGCTCGCAACCTGCTCTTTTCCATTCTGGATGTGGTTCTCCTGCATAAGCAATTCTTTGATATCGACTTGGAAAAGACGTGCACTTTTCTTCACAAGAAATAAAAAAATAATAAAGTCATTGTGGCCAGATGCAGTTGTTCTTTTATTTCCATTAGTGAAATGAGATTTCCAGGAAGATGGCAATTGAATCACAGCCAGGCAGGTGGTTGAGGGCCATGCTTGCTGCAGCAGATCCAGGGTAAGCCAGGGAGGCGCAGGCCTGGGGCTGTGTCTCGCTGGAACTCAAAACCACGGCTTTGACCCTGGGAAGTTCCTCTGTGTGGAGGGCAGGGAGGATAATGTTGCCCCAACGAATCCTCCTAGGAAGGTCTGTCCTCCCCCACAGCAGCCAGAGGGCGCCTGTGAGCAACCGAGTCTGGTCAAGATCCCTCTGTCCAGAACTCTCCATGGCTCCCACCTGACTGGGAGTAAATGACAAAGTGGTCCCTGTGGCCTACAAGGTACTGCATGGTCTGACTTGTCACCTCCCTGCCTTCAGCTCTTCCCACTTGCCCCCTGCACTCTGCTCCAGGCTCATTGACCTCCCTGCTGCTGACTGACCGCACCGGGCCCCTGCCTCAGGGCCTTTGCATTGGCTGTTTACTCTGCCTGGAACCCTCTTACCCCAGGTAGTCACGAAGCTCTCCTCACTCCCTCCTTCACGTCTTTCCACAAATTTCACCTTCTCATTGCCTCTCCCAGCCCCGACCCCATTCACTATGTTAGTATTGCAACACCTCTCCCAGCATTTCTGATGTCTCTTCCCCTATGTCCTTCCCACAGCCCCTAGAATATAAAATACTGTATCATTTACTCGTTTAACTTAAATGTCACTTTCAATGTCATATTAGCTCCTCGACTGCAGGGATTTTTAAATATTTCACCACCATACCCAACTCTGTTCCTGTCCAATACAAAAAACAAAAACAAAAAACGCCTTGCCCTGGCTGCTGTGGCTCAGTGGATTGAGTGCTGGCCGGCCAACCAAAAAGTCCCCAGTTTGATTCCAGTCAGAACACATGCCTGGGTGGCAGGCCAGGTCCCTGGTTGGGGATGTGTGGGAGGCAGGCAATTGATGTCTCTCTCCCTCTTTCTCCCTCCCTTCTCCTCTCTCTAAAAGTACATAAATAAAACTTAAAAAAAAACAAAACTTGGTCTTTGTTCCTGGTTCCTGGCACACATCTCTTAAAATCCACATTATCTCCAGAGTGCTAAGTGTCTTTTATGTGCTAGTAAGAGGCCTGGGGTGGGGTGGGGAGGGGGGTTGGTAGCTTCAGGATGGGAGTTGGTTTCCAGGAAGACCAAGCCATGATTAGAGTGTTGGCAGTGTCAGCTCAGCCCCCAGACCTCCAGGAAAGGGGAGGGGCTAGAGATAGAGTGACTCACCAAGGGCCAAGGATTTAATCAATCATGCCAATGTAATGAAAACCAGGGTGTCCAGCCCATGGCCTGGGGGCCGCATGCAGCCCAGGATGGCTTTGAATGTGACCCAACACAAAATCGTAAATTTACTTAAAATATTGTGAGATTTTGTGTGGGTGTGTGATTACGTGTTGCAATGTATTTAATGTTTGGCCCAAGACCATTCTTTTTCCATTGTGGCCCAGAGATGCCAAATGGTTGGACATCCCTATGGGCCTAAACAGTGGAAGAGCCTCTGGGTTAGTGAACACATCAGGCACCAGGAGGGTGGTGCGCCCAGACAGGGCATGGAGTCCCACACGCCTTCCCCATGCCTCGCCCTGTGCATCTCTTCCATCTGACCCTTCCTGAGCGGTAGCCTTCATAATACATGTCATAGCAGGTAGAGCACTTTCCTGAACTCTGTGAGCCATTCTCATCAAACCTGAAATGGAAGGAGGATAGTGGGAAGCCGCTGACTTTGCAGCCAGCTCAGAAGTGTGTCACACCTTGGGCACCTGCCACTTGCAACTGGCATCTGAAATAATGGCCGTCCTGTGGGACTGGGCCCTTAAATCTGTGGCTGCTGACATGGGCTCCAGGTAGTTAGTGTCAGGATTGAACTGTAGGACACCCAGTTGGTGCCCACAGAGACTTGCTTGATGTGGAAAATCCTCACATAGTTGGTGCCAGAAGTGTTGTGAGTGAAAATCGTTTATTTCTAACATACAGCAGGCACTGGAGAGATGTTTGTTCAGTGAATGAATGACCTGCAAAGCCCAAAAGTGAGCGAGGTCCACAAGCTTGCACACAGTACAAGCATTCTCATCTCTGCTCTCCCTGCCTGCTCTCTGCAGCCTTGCCCCGCCACGAGGCGGCCCCCTCTGAACCAGGTGAGTTGCAGAGAGGGGGTGGGAGCTGCTCTCTCCTGGTTACCTGAGTTAACAAGTTAGTTTCCCAAAACCAGGTCTCTCGGCCAGCTTGGGCTCCATGCCCACGTCTGAACCAGTGACTGAGGTCAGACAGATGAAACGTGCTGACTGCCTGGCTGGGTGTACACACCCACCCCTAGCTTAGGGACTAAAATCTGAGAGGTGGGCTGGTTCCAAAGAAAACTAGGTGTGTTTTCTAGAAGTGGGAGGTGATTACAGCAGTAGCAGCTATGATGTGCCCATTACATCCTCAAAATCTCCCTAAAAGAAAGATGGAGGGATTAGATAAATTACCATTTGCAATCCCCAACAAAAGAATTGATTCAGTCTGCTATGGTCACTGGATGAAGTCCTTGGTTTGAGTCTCAGCCGTGACCATGCCACCCCTTAGAACCACCTGGATAAATATGTTAAGTCCCTATGCCCAGGTCACAGCCCAGCCCAATTAAATCAGAACATGGGGATATGGTGTAACCGCAGAATCAGCACAACCTGGTCCTATCACGTTTCTAACGTCAACCAATGGTCGTCGGTGCCAATTCAACGCCAGTAGAACTCCCCAGTTTTACAGTGCGGTGAAAAGGAAACTTTATTCAATGCAAAACAGCTCAATTGTGATACAGCACAGCTGAGAAATCAGCACAGCTGGCAGACAGCCCTGGGGCTTGGCCACTGTCCCGCTAGACAGCTCTGTTCTTCTCGGGTCTGCTCTCGCAGGCTCCATGTCAGCGCTGGTCTGCTCTGCTCTGCTCAGCCAGGGAAACACTGCCTCCAGTCTTTGATGGAAAGGGAAAGAGTGCTCCCAGAGCTAGAGGGAGGCTGGCTTAGATAGACAGAAATCCCCAGCCCTGGCCCCTCATTGGTCCGTCCTCATGCAAATAAGGACTCCAAATCCTCGCAACTTGATTGGTCCAAAAGGCACTCTCCTGATTGGTCAGAATAGAGCTGCTCTGTTTGGTCAGAGCTTTGCAGCTCTTAAAAAGGGAAAGCCTCAATCTTATTGGTTGAAATAGTATTCAAGAAACTCCTTTAGAAGGGCTGGCTTAGCTAGCAGGAACACAGTGCCGGCAAGCAGAGGTAAGTGCAGAGTCAGGTAGTTCAGTGCAGGCTTCTCCCCGAATTGAGTTTGTGTGAGAGGCCCCTGTGTAGACATGGCTGTTTGGCTGTTTTTAAAAATTTGAACCAGTTAGCCATTAGGAACGCTTTTTAGTAGGTGTCTTCTTTCTCAGGATTCACACTAACAAAACCTAGTACCAAAGTTTAAACCTTGGATACAGCACTTGGAAGTAGCATTTGTGAACACCACTCACAAGTGACACTCATAAACTCTTAACTGCTCCCCCCAGTAGAAACGAAAACCCAGGACATGATTGGAATCTGAACACTGAAATCCTTTCAGAGGCAAAGGGTCTGTTGTCCAAGAAGATCCGGTATTGAAACCCCTTAAATCTTGTTCCAAACCCTGGAAGGAGGAGACAGATTTGAGCCTTGCCTCCTGTCTCCTTGCTGGCCGACCTCACAACAGATGCTTTTTTCCTTTCTCAAAAGCTAGTGCCATAGAATTGGCTTCTGTGCACACGAGGCCTTGCCTGGTAACCACGGGGTCCAGGCTGGAGTATTCTGTTAAACTCCGAGGGAGCTCCAGTGGACAGCCGGGCCTGAGAACCAGGGATTTATAGGAAATACAGGAAAGAGAGGAACAAGGTAAAGGCTCTACAGAGCAGCAGCAGCAAATCCAGAAGGTGTGCAATTCCCAGCATTCCACACTCTTCCTGCAACAAATCAAAGGGAGGTGGGGGAAGAGGAGGCAATCCAGAGCAGTCTTCTCTCACAGTGTGTTCCCCGTGCCAGCAGCATTGCCCAGGAACGTGTTAGGAATGCAGACCCCTGGGCCCGCTCCAGATCTCCGGAGACGGCAGCTCTGGGGGAGGGTGCTGGGCGGCCTTAACAAAACATCCAGAGGATTCTGACGCATGCTGTCATTTCAGAACTACTAGATTCAAATAAAAGGGACGTAGGAGACATGACACACATGGTGTGTGGACCTTGTTTGGATCCCAATTCAAAGAAATCAAATGTAAAAAGACATTTTGAGCTAATTCGGAACATTCAGTGATGACCTGCGTGTTCAGTGATGCCAAAGAAGGGCTGCTAATTGCCTTAGTTGCTGTCTTAGTCCATTCAGGCTGCTATAACAAAATATCATAGACCAAGTCATTTATAAACAACAGACATTCATTTCTCACAGTTCTAGAGGCTCAGAAGTTCAAGAGGAAGGTGGCAGTAGATTCAGTATCCAATGAGGACCAGTTTCTTGGTTTGTGAATGGATGTTTTTTTTACTGTGTCCGCTCATGGCGGGAGAGGTGAGGGAGCTCTTTGGAGCCTCTTTACAAGGGCGCCGATCCCATTCATGAGGGTCCCACGCTCATGAACTAATTACCTCCCAAAGCCACACCTCCTAATACCATCACCCTGGGGATTAACTTTCAACATATGAATTCTGGGGAGACACACATACTCAGTCTGTTGTTATAGTGGCATTAGGGTTGGGAACACAAATGTATACATTTTTGAAGATGTGTAGTGATGTATGAAGGGGTAAAATAACATTGTTTGGGATTTGTTTTAAATTCATCAAGGCAAAAATTGCGATAGTTAAACAACAATGTCAAACTCTTGGTGATTGCTGAATCTGGATTAGGTGTATATGGAGGTTTCTTTGAACAAGTTATCTTTCGTGAATATTTTAGGGCTTTTTTCACATAATAATTTACAAAACTAGACCAGCGCACGAGCAGGCAGGCCCTGTCACCCCACCCGGGAACGCAGAGCTAAAACCACTGCCAGCTGGTGTGGGGAAGCAGAGCGAAGGAGGGAGGACTCGGGAAGACAGGGGTTTCCCAAGTCTGTATTCTCCGTCTCCCTTCAAAAAGCAGCGAGAGTGACAGGGAGAGTGAGTCCACAGCGCCCGCAGCCAGGCGTCCTGTCCTCCCCGGCCGGTCAGCCCAGCTTGACAAACAGCAGCAAGGTGGCCAGGATTCCTGGCAGCTGAAATGGGAGAAGAAAGAAACCTTGAACCAAAACTTGAAGGATTTCTGAAACCTGAATCAACTTGGATACACAGAGATGGGGAGCATCCTGTTCCAGAAAGTTCAGGGGCAGGGTTTTACGGATGGCGTGAGTCCCTCAGGGCCACGCTGGAGACAAAAGGACCACGTTGTGGGGGCTGGTTCCTCCTGGGAGCCTGACTGTTACTCCCTCCTTGTGGAAGGGGGTGTGGTATAGTTTGCAAATGCATATTTAATATACATTTGTACAATAAAAAATACCCACTTTTAAAATACAAATCAGACAGATGAAACGCACCCATGGTTTGGCCGGTGGTGATCTGCAGAAACACACTGCTACACACTGAGAATCAGCGTGGGGCAGCACAAGGGGGAATTCTTGACGGCTCCAAGAGGTGGAGGGTGTTTTTGAAGTAACAGCTTTATTGAGATGTACTTTGTATAGCCTACAATTCACCTTTATAAAGTATACAGTTACATGGTTTAAGCCCTTTACATTCAATGTAATTGCTGAGAAGATGGGATTTATAGCTGTCATTTTGCTATTTGATTTCTGTTTGCCTTTCTTGCTGTTCTTCTCCGCATTCATCATGGCTCCTTTTGCCTTAGGTATTTTCTAGTGCACCATTTTAATTCCCTTGTTGTTTCCTTGACTATATTTTAAAGTTATTTTCTTAGTGGTTGCCCCGGGGATTATAATGAACATCTTTACTTTTTACAATCTAGTTTGGATTGACAGTAAATTAATTCCAGTAGCCTACCAAAACTTTGCTCCTATATAGTTTGTGTACTCCAACCTTCTTTGTGCTATTATTGTCATGTGAATTACATCTGAACATGAGTCTATCAACACAGTTTTATGGTTGGTTCCTTATGCAATTATATTTAAATGAGATAGGAGAAGAAAAGTTTTTAACAAAAAAATATATTCTTCTCCCTGGGGCTTATTTGAACTTAGCCCTGAGCCAAGATCCGCTCCTTGGGCAGGCCCGGGGATGAGAATAGCTCCTGTGCGTTGTGTTTCCATAGTGAGTGGCTTCAAGCATCTTTAGTGGTGCATGAAGAACTCACCCTCTTTCTGCCACTGTGTCCCTGTGATCCCTGCTTTGGGTAAGATGTCTCTCGAGTTGATGACAATAACTTCCCAGAATCAAAGGGCATTGTGCAAAGCCTCTGATGCGCGCCACCTCCTCAATGCCTGACGACAAACAACGGGGCGGCCCGTCTTACCCACGAGGGAGGCTGTGCTCCTGACTCACAGCCAGACGGCTAGCGAGTGACATAACTAGGACTGGAGTCCGGAGCCCACTCAGACCTTCAACCAGAGGAGTGCAGGCCAGACTCATGAGCTGGATGAAGAAGGCCTATCGCCAGGGTAAGCTGTTTCTCACCTGAATCAGGTCTGAGGGCGCCAGTACCCACATGCCTTCCCCTTGCTTCCTAAGTGAACCAGGAATGAGGTCACTCTGCTTAAAATCACCTCCCAGTTGTATATTTCTCCTGAACGTGTACTTTATCACCATAACACAATACATTTTCCAATTTCAAAATCATATTTCTTGTCTCTCCCTGCTGATTAGGTCAGCTTCGTGAGAGCAGAGATGTTTTTTTAAAAAGTGTTTATTTATTTATTTTTAGAGAGAGGAAGGGAGGGAGAAAGAGGGAGAGAAAGACCGAGATGTAGCCGCCTCTGATGGTCAGGGGGTGGGGGAGGCGCGCCCCCAACTGGGGACCCGCCTGGCAACCCAGGCAGGTTCCCTGACTGGGAATCAAACCAATGACCCTTTGGTTCACAGGGCAGCGCTCAACCCACTGAACCACACCAGCCAGGGCGAGACTTTTGTTTCTTTAATTCAAAGTTGTATCCCTAGTGTCAACAACACTGCCTGGACATAGTACCATATTTTGCCATGTATAACGCGCTCTTGTATATAATGCACACCCAAGATTTTGGCCCAAACTTTCAGGAACAGCATCCATTATTCATTTATTTATATTTAGAAACAAAACCAATTATCGTATTTCAGGGTATTATTTTGCATGCAGATATCATTGTTGCTTCCTAGAGTTACACTTCTAATGCTTAAGCATAAACAAAAGAATTCAAAACATTTATATAGATACAGATTTAGTACTACCCATGCATAATGCACATCCTTAATTTTCCCTCAAAAATTTGGGCAAAAATTGTGCATTACACACAGCAAAATAAGGTAGGCGCTCAATAAAATTTGGGGAATAAAAATAAGGAATGTTCAAACCTCTCTACTGGCTTCCTATCATACTCAGAACAAATCCAAGCCCCCTCTGCAGCCGCCAAGCCCTTACATGATCTCGTCCCCTCAGCCCCCCGCGCTCATCTCCCCCTGCCTCCCTTCCCGTTCTCCCTGCTCCAGCCACACGGGCCTCCTGCTGGTCCTCACGTAAGCCAAGCTTACCCCAGCCTCAGGGCCTTTGCACCAACAGCTCCCTCTGCCTTCCCCCCATACACACACACACACACACACACACACACACACACACACACACACGGCTTTTCCTCGCCTCCTCGGGTCACTGGTCAACTGTCACCTCCTCAGACAGTCCCTCCCTAGTCTTCCCTATTCCATCACCATGTTTTACTGCCTCCCCACTGGATGTCATTGCCCCAATGCAGGGATTTTTGCCTTTTTGTCACTGCTGTGTCCTCAGGGCTCAGAACAGGGCTTGGCCCACAGTAGGTGCTCAGTAAGGGAGTTCCGCGCGCCCCGGGAAGCTGGGCCTTACCTGTAACATGGCCGCCCCCAGCGAGCCCCTGCTCAGGCTGAAGCTTTGGGCCTTGGCTATCTTCAGGAGCGCGGGGAAGCAGCCCTGCGGATACGAACATTGAAGCAGGCAGGACCTGGTCGGAGGCTCACAGACTCCAAGGCCCCGTCACTACCCACCCTTGTCGGGCCATCCAAACGGCTCTCAGATTCAGGGAGGATAAAGGGACCAAACCACAAGGACCTCGGCTCCTTGTCGCTTGACTGCCCCCAGCACTTCAGCATCTTCCCAGCCTCTCGTTCTTCACACACGCCCCCAGAACACCCCCTCTGGGGGCTGACATCCAACTGTGGCAAGTAAGAAAGAACACAGCCGGATGTCCCGAGCTATTACTAGCTCTGCGACCTTGGAGAGGTCACAACTCCTTTCTGTGCCTCCGTGTCCCAACTGTGGTTGTGGGTTAAAAGAAAGAATGTACACAAAGTACACAGTAGTGGCCTGACCCAGAGCCAGCCTCCAGGAACTCTTCGTTATTTCTGAGTGTTCTTTATGTACGAACGTGGGGCTAACACGGATCCGGCACCTTCTCACTCGTTTCTCACACAACCCCAGGAGGCAGGTACTCCTTTTCTCCATTTTATAAGCGAAGAAACTGAGGCTCGGACAGAGGAAGAGATGGGGCACAGTGGGTGAGCAGAGCAGCTTCCGGCTGGTGATGGGGTCGTCACCGCCCTTGCTGTGGCCACTGAGATGCCCCCACCTTCTAGGCTCCCAGCACTTCTTGTTTCTGGAAGCTCGGGCTGCCTTGAGCCCACTCTTAGCAGTTCAGTGCCCCCCTTCACTTAAAAACACTTATTAAGTGCCTACTGAATGCTGAGCACCCAGCAATGTATAAAACAGACAAAATTCTTGCCGTGGTGGCGCTGACGTTTGAGTGGGGTCTACAGGTAATAGGTACTGAATAAGCGCTGGACAGACAGTGAAGCAGGGTAAGGAGACGGAGGGCGATGGTGATTTGGGGGGAGATCCTTTCATAGAGAGGGGGTCTAGAACAGTCTCACCAAGGAAGGGACAATGGAGACAGACTAGAAAGAAGTGAGGTAGGAAGACATGTAGGGGAACAGAATTCTAGGCAGAAGGAACAGCCTTTGCAAAGGCCCTGAGGCTGGCATGTGCCCAGTGTGTGTGTGCTGCGGTGCGGAGGCTGGTGTGGCTACATCAGGATGAGTGAGGAGGCGAGTGGAAGGACAGGAGGTTTTGCAGGGCCCAGTGGGCCAGCGTGTGGCCCATGTTCGTTTCCGAGACTCTGGCCTGGGTCTCGGCCTGGCCAATTCCGCAGGAGCCGTTCAGGTGATGAGTGAATTAATGAATGATTGCTATTTCTTCTCTCAGAGAAGACCATTGTGTTCATTTACCCACGACATAAGTCAAGAGGAAGATGGGGTGGGGTTTAAAGTCCAGCTCCACCACTCCTTGGCTGTGGGAAGCTCTCTGTGCCTCAGTTTCCTTATCAGTAAAATGAGAGAAGAGCCTGGAAGGATGCAATAGGGATTGATTCCAAAAAGTGAATGCCCAGTCACGCGGCCTTCCTTGTTGTTAAGATGGTCACTTCTCATTGTTATTACAGTTTAAGTTCTTTGTTCTGCAGGCAGTGTGACCCACGCAATACACTCAGGCCCATGCGGACGCAAACCCCAAAGTCACGTGGCCTTGAGACGTTCGCGTCCCCTCCCTGAGCCTCACTTTCCTCACCTGTGACGCGAAGACGGTAACCCTGACTTCCCAAGGCTGTGCTCACGAAGTGAGCTGAAACTCAGTGAGTGGCTTTCTCTCTCCCCTGTCCCTTTTCAGCTGGGGTCCCCACAAATATGCAATTTTTATCAAAGTCACCAGTCCTGAGGGTCTACCATGGGGTCTACAACCGAATCTTGGGTTACCTTCTGGTGGATGACATCTGCGGATACGTTGCGCCCGTCGCAGGCCACGGTCCCGATGGACTTACAGCAGCTCCTGGGGTAGGCGTAGCCGGTCGTCATTTCAAAGGAGGAGCCGGAAAAATCTGTGTAGTTCTTCACCCCACAGCACTTCAGCTGTAGAGAGCAGAATAAACACTTGAAGACTTCCTTTCAAATATTAAAATAATAAAAACAGTAGACATCACAGTCACCATGGCTACTGTCTAGGACAGTCACAATATTCCAGGGCCTGCTAAATGTGTCCCTTACCCCCACCCCTGTCATGGCTCAGAACCCCCTCCGGGGTTCTCCCCTCACCTGGGGCCAGAGCTGAACTGCTCACCATGGCCCACAAGACCCTGCATGGCCTGTGCTGTCACCTCAGGCCCTCGTCTCTGCCCAGTCTCCCTTTTGCTCACTCAGCTTTAGCCTCACCGGTCTCTTTGATGTTTCTGAAACACACTTGGCAAGTGCCAGCCTCAGGGCTTTTACACTTGATCTTAGCCAAAAGGCTGAGAAGCGATAGCCTCAGGGCTTGTACAGGGGCTGTTCTCTCTTTTTGGAATGCTGTTTTCTCGAGTATCTGCATGACTCTCTCCTTCACTTCATTCGCATCTCTGTTCAAATGTCCCTCTTCAGAAAGGTCTGCTCTGATTCTTCCTTTCAAGTTAGCCACAACCCCTGTATCAGTCAGGCTGAGCTAAGTGATGCCACGTAACAAACAGTTCCTCATCTCCGCCATTTGTTTTTCTTCATACCATGTGCTCATCACAACTTGGCAGGGGAACTCTGTTTATCAGAGTCACTGAAAGACTCTGGATGGAGCGGTTACCATCCAGATTGTTCCACTATTGTGGCGAAGTAAAAGAGAGCTTCAGAGACCCTAACACTGACAATTAACTGATTTGGCCTGGAATTGACACACATCACTTTTGGTTACTGCTCACTGGCCAGAAGTCACCACATGACCCTCAACTGACTTCCAGGAGGCCAGGACAGGCCATTTTACTGTGTGCTGAAAACAGGTGAAAAAAAGCACTTACAAGTCAAAAACCCTTGTTCTCTATACCTTTACCCTGCCTTGTTTCTCCTCATAGCACTCATCACCTCTTATACCAATGTTTTCTTGGTAGCTTCTTGTCCATCCCGCCCTCCGCCCAAGTATCAGCGGCAGAATGGCAAAGATTTTGGTTTTGTGTGCGGCTGTGTCGCCAGGACCCTCTGTGCTGACGAGTCCCAGCACATAGTAAGTGCTCAATAAAGGTTAGTTGAAGGGCCGTATGAATGAATGAGAGATATTCTCTACCGTCTCAAGCTTGAGAAGCAAAAACTAGGAGGTGGGCAAGTCCTCTACTCATTGTGTGTCACCTCCCAAGCCCCATAGCAGTTCCTGGGCCCAAGACTAAGATGCGAAAAGATGTGAAGCATCTTCAGGAACAAGCACAGGATTCCCCGTCCAAACCCGCCCTGGCCTTGGCCTCAGAGGAGCTTAGATGACACAAGGAGGCCCATCCTCCTTCTTAAGTAGCCAAGATTCAAACTGTCCGTCTTGCTGGTTCACACTCAGGCAAACAACTGCTACTAAAAAAAGGGGGGGGTGTTGGCAAGAATGTGGAGAAACTGGAACCCTTGTGCTTTGCTGGTGGGAATGTAAAATGGTGCGGCCGCTGTGGAGAACAGTGTGGAAATTCCTCAAAAGAGGTTAAGCATAGAATTGCCATATGATCCAGCAATTCCAGTTCAGGGTGTATTCCTAAAACACCGATTTTTCAGCCAGTGTGCCGCAAGAATTTTTAAAACATTCACACATGCAATACCTGACTATTTAGTCAGGGGCACTTTCCTTTAGGTTGTCAAATAAAAAAATGACAACAGCCAACACAATAGCCATCTGGCATGAACACATCAAAATTATACCTAATTTTTTTTTTTTTTGTCAGATTAGCAACGAATATATTTTTGGTGTGCCACAGAATTTAAGTAATTAGTTTATGTTTGTTATGATATGAAAAAGGTTGAAAATTCCTCGCCTAAAAGAACTGAAAGCAGGGTCTTGAACACCCAAGCAGGATTTGCACACCCACGTTCACAGCAGCCCTATTCACAATAGCCAAAAGGTGGGAACGACTCAAGCGTCCTTTGATGGACGGATGAGTAAGCAAAATGTGCTGTACCCATACAATGAAATATTTTTCAGCCTTAAAAAGGAAGGAAATTCTGACACATGCTACAACATGGGTGGACCCTGAGGCCATTTTACTGAGTGAAATAAGCCAGTCCCAAGCGGGCACATGCTGTAAGACCCCACCTGCAGGAGGTCCCTAGAGGAATCAGATTCATAGAGACAGGAGGCTGAATGGTGGGGGCGGGGGGCCGGGGGGCAGAGGGAGTGTTGAATGGGGACAAGAGTTTCTGTTTGGGAAGATGAGAAAGTTCTGGAGACCGATGGTGGTGATGGCTATGCAACAATGTGAATGTACTTAATGCCACTTAAAAATGGTTAAGATGGTGAATTTTATGTTATGTGGATTTTACTCCATTAAAAAAAGATGTGAATCTCACCTTTTCCATGACTAAGTTCCATTCCATGGAATAGTCATCTGGCTCATTGTAACCTCTATAATTCTTCTTCAGGGTCACAAAATTGTGTTCCAGGGCCATTTCTTGAACCTCAAAAATGAAACAGGAAGCCATGAACACACAAAATAACAAGATGTCGCCTTGACTAATGTGGTTCGGTTGGCTGGCCATTGTCCCGCAAAGCAAAGGGTCGCTGGATTCGATTCCAAGTCTGGGCACACGCCTGGGTTGTGGGTTCAGTCCCTGGGCAGGGCACTTATGAGAGACAACTGACCAATGTATCTCTCACATATCCACGATCCTCTTCCTCTCTTTCTCCCTCCCTTCCCCCTCTCTCTAAAAATAAATAAATAAAATCTTTTTAAAAAACAGCAAGATGCCCCGTTTGGTGAGGCTTCCTGGGGACAGAGTGAGGAGGTGGGGGCTTCCCTTCTGCCTCCTTCACGCTCCCTCCCCCGGGCCGTGGGCCTGGGCTGGAGGATGACAAATCCAGGCTACCGCCAGCCCTGAGAGGGACGCGGGGAGCGCGTGGGTCTCAGAGGCGAGCGCATCTGGTCAGAGCCATCGCAAACCAGTTTGAATCATCTGCTCTTTCCAATCGCCCACACACCCGCTACCCCTCCCCATTCGGTTGTAACTCAATTAAAGTCTAAAATATCATCAGCAGCAACCGAATTTCTCTCTCTGCACAGAAAAAGGAACAAATTTAATTTTCTATTTTTTGGATAAAGGTCTAAATTTTAAAAATTTGCCCTGAAGAGGTGATAGAGTCACATGGTTCAAAATTCACCAAGCACAGAAGGGTGGGCCATGAGAACTCTCCCACCTTTTTCTCCCAGCCAAGTTCCTCCCACTCCACGAAGACAACTGTCACTGTTTCCTGTGTCCCAAAAGAGATATTCTATGTGTGTCAAAGCAAGTATATTCTGATATTTTCCTCCTGGCTTTATACTACTCTCGTTCTACATCTGGCTGTTCTCTAACAAGCATAGCAATTGCTCTTGGTCCCCTGCTTGTGTCCCGTGGCCTTTGTCATTCCTGTGCACGCTGTGCCTGGCTTCCCACTGCCAGCAATCGAGGGCTTTCTGTGGCTTTTCAGCCACCTGCATCCTAGGAGCAGCACTCAAGCCATGACTGAAGGGAGGTGGCAGATCAACGCTGCGGCTCCCTGGCCCCTTGGGAGGAAAACCAGATGCGTGTCCTGCATTGCCTGCCAGATGCCCCCAGCAGAACTGAGCCCAGATGCCCACAAAGTCACCTTTTATGGGCCAGATTCCCTTCCCTGCCTCACTTCCTTGTCCTCTACAGGGTCTTCTTGGGATCAGCTCTCAAATAAACCGGGAGGCTTCAAATTCTTGTCTCAGAGCTGGCCTCGGGGGCACACAAATGAGGACGTCACTATGTCCTGAAGAACACAGCATCTCATTCATAGAGGCCCTTCTCTTTCCTTCATTCCGCCCGCATTGGACTGTCTTGTGACGGCTATTATATATTACCCCTCCCCCAATACTGTTCACTAGGCCGGGGGCAATCTTTTGCACACCCTGCTACGTTTGTCATCCTGCCCTCGAATAAGCAAATCTTTGGATGTTTCCTAAAAATGAGACGGTTGGGTCAAAACATCTATCTTCGTCATTTGGATGGCTTTTGCTAAATAGCCCTCTGTTTTCAGCACATTTCAAAAGCCCCAGCAGCTTTTACAGCTTTTCCCTTACTTCTTACCACCCCACCGCCAAAAACAGGAGAGATGGTCAAATTAACTCGGCCAGTTTCTTGAGGCCTCCGAGGAGAGGTCTGAGGCTTTGGGCTTTTTACCTCATCTCTGAAGGCCCCGTCCCCTTTCCTAGGGACCTGCGGTCCAGCTATTCCAGGGTCTGGGCGAGCAGCGCAGAGCCTGAGGGCCTCCCGGCCTGGGGTGTGGGGGCGGGGGCTTCTGTTGATTTTGTTGGTTTTCTAATGCGGAAGAGGGAGAAGCAGCACTGTACTCACCATGGGAAGGAAGGCGAGGACCACTGTGGCAACCATGATTTCCAGAAGGAGAATGACGACCATGCACAAGAAGCACTGGAAGACACAGGGTGGGGCCTATGGGGGCTGGGAGCCTGCTGCGAGGGGCTGCCCACCCCAGGCCCCGTGATCTCTGGGTTTGAAAGAACTCACACCCAGTGGGGAAGGGCGTGTGACATCTTTCATGTGTCGATTTCTCACCTGTTGTCCAGGTTGCTGGCAGTGGGGTATTCTTAGGAGCCAGTGGCTGGACCTCCATGTCATGCCCGGCACTTTGTGGGTGTCAAGGAAGCTTAAGTGGGGATCTCCGGGTGAAGTAAAGGGTGTCTATTGCCAATATGGGGGGGGGGGGGGTGAGGCGTGGCAGGGAGAAAGCAGAAAGATAGCAGGGAGGACAGAACAGGACTCCCGGAGGAGGGGAGAAGCCTCCGACTCCCTCATGTGGGAGCAGGGTGACAACTGAAGGGGAGGGACAGGAGGGTGCCAGGAAGAAACTGTCAACATTTGCTGACTAACACGTCCAATAAATTCACTTGCACAGTGGAAAACAATGGGAAATTGGGCAAGCGGAGGGGAGGTCTTCAAGTTACCCATTAAGGAGAAACCGCCTCCTTCCCTGCACCTCAGTTTCCCCATCTGTACAATATAGAGACCCAGCTCCAGGGGTCTCAGTGGGTTCTGTGGAGCTTCGTGAGGCCAGATGGGAGCAAAGTAAGGTCAGCTCCTGGCTTCCCTTTTGCTCATTTCCATTTGTGCTTGTTATTATTATTAAGACCTGCTTGATAATTTAGGCTTTGAGTCACCAGGCTGGCCAATGGCAGGACTTATCTGGCCTTGACACAGAGAGGCAGGAAAGTGCAGTGGATACACCCTCGGGGTGCCCACAGCCCACAGGGCGTCCACCATATCCCACCTGGACTGGCACAGGGCCTCTGCACTGGTCTCCCCACGCTGTTTCCCCCATGGACACCAGAGGGCGCCTGTGAGCATCTAAATCTGGCAAGTTGCTTCTCTGCTCAGAACCTTCTGTAGCTCCCACACACTAACCAAAAGACTTTGTTTTTGTGAGTGAAGTCTCAGAGGTTTTGGAGGGATGGATTGGATTTGCAGATGGGTTGGATGTGGGGTGTGAGAGAGAAGACTCAGATTCCTCCAAGTTAAACTATGGATAGAATAATGTCCCTATCGTATTAAAGATAAAATCAAATATCACTAATAAATATTTGCTGAACATAATTAAGAAATAAAATGAGAGATGATGGAGCTTCAGGGAGGAGGAGGATGGGGGTGGGGTACTCTAGGAGGTGACTAGAGTAAGACTCCCTGAAACCCCCAAATTGCAATAACTGGAGATTTGTAGCAACACAACGGAGGAAGGAAAACAAACACAATGAAGACAGATTGAACAAAAACGGGGGATAATCTGCTCTGAAAAGATTTTAAGGGAAATGGGAACGGGAAGCTGGGAACTGGATTTTGGGAAACTGTTTAGCCAAGGTTGTGTGTAAGAATAAGGCATGTAAAATCTGAGACATGCTATCTGCACAATCACACTTGAAACTTTTATACCCCATGTACTTGAACGTGTACTTGTGCATGTATGATGATTACAACAGTGTTGTATTAGTGGGGCGGAAAGAGCCGCGTGCTCAGAACAGACTCAAACACAACGGAAACTTGTGTAGACCAACGAAGACCTGGAGGGCCACTCAGTAAAGGGGGCAGTATGTCATCAACTGGAGAAAAAAATTAAATCAGATCCCTACCTCACACCACACACATGGTTAAATTCCCAAAAGCTACAAAGCTAAAAGTGAGAACGCAGGCTTAAAATTACAGGAAAAAAACCTAAGAGTATAATTTATGGCCTTGAGTAGGGAAGGGGTTCTATGTGAGACACAGCACAGAGGAAAAGATGGCTGCATCAATGCCATCAAATGAAACACCATAAACTCTGTAAGCTAGAGGATGGGAAAGATTTGCAGTGTGAGCAGCGAGGGGTTCATATGTGAGGGGAGAGTTTGGGGATCTGCATGCAGATTCAACTTACAAACAAGAGAGTGCCTCTGCTTTCTCTGGTTGTCCCGTACCACCCTATGAAGCCAAGCAACACTGTGCTGCAGCCTGTCACCAGACACAAGTAGGCAGCATGGAGCAGGAATGCAGAGGACAGCCCTAGGACTCTTGTGAGGACAGCTCCCCTGAACTTGACACAGATGCCCAGGCCAATGAGGATCACGCCAGACATCTTTAGAACAGAAATCAGAAAGGGAAAGCCAGTCTGTTAGTTGTACACAAATAGAACTTTCTAGGGGGCAGCAGGGAGGAGCGTGAAGGTCAATAAAATTAGCAAAAACATTTTTAAAGTGATAATACCTTGTGTTAGGGAGGATGTGGAGAAACATTCTGATACGTTGCTGCCAGGCAACAAACTTTTGTGTGTGCCGGGGCGTGGGAAGGGGGCAGGCAGGAGGAGGACACTCACAATTTATATTTAAACCTTAAAGTTTTTATGATAAAAAACTTTACCTAGAAATCTCATTTCTAGATATTCAGCCTAAGAAAAACAGCCATGTATTTGGCTTAGTGCCAGGATGTTCATTAAGTACAAATATAAAAAATTACTGCCCTGGCTGATGTGGCTCAGTGGATTAGGTGCTGGCCTGAGGACCAGGGGGTTGCTGGTTCGATTCCCTGTCTAGGGCCCATGCCTGGGTTGCAAGCCAGGTCCCCAGTAGAGGGTGTGTGAGAGGCAACCACTCATTGATGTTTCTCTCCCTCTCTTCCTCCCTCCCTCCCCCTCTCTAAAAACCAATGAATTAAAACCTTTAAAAAATTACTGAAGCATTAATGAATGAATAAAAATCTTTTAAAAAATTACTGAAGCAATCAGTAAGACAGAGTGGGTAGGTAAATCGTGGAATGGCCACGCAATGCGACCACAGACTGATACTTTCAACAATGCTGTAGGACAGGGGGGTGGCAATTTTTTCCTGAAAAGCCCTGGATATTATGAGCCTTGTAGGTTGTAAGTTCTGTTTTGAGCCAGTGTAGCTCAAAAATAGCCATATTCAATTTGTAAACAATTTTAAAAATTTACAGATACATTTTATATATGTCTATCTATCTGACTATACTCTGCTTACCTCTATTGTAGCAGAATGTTTTAGTAATACAAAAAGGTGTTTTCAATGCATTAATAAGTTTTTAAAAAAGTGGATTGTTGCCCTGGCTGGTGTGGCTCAGTGGACTGAGTGCCGGCCCGTGAACTGAAAAGCCGATTTGATTCCCCATCAGGGCACATGCCTGCGTTGCAGGCGAGTTGACCGGCTCGGGGTGTGCAAGAGGCAGCTGGTCGATGCTTCTCTCACATATCGATGTTTCTCTCCCTCTCTTTCTCCCCCCCCTTCCAGTCTCTCTAAAAATAAATAAATAAAATCTTATAAAAAAAAGTGGATTGTCAGCAGTCAGGCCCTTTGGTATTTATCCAATGGCATTGAAAACTTACGTCCTCACGCAGCCTTGATAAACCAGAGGCCCTGCAGCAGGATTTACTAAAGTGCTGCGTTGGGATCGTAGCCCTACCAGGGGCCTTCATGCGCTACACATGACTTTTGAAAGTTTTATATGTGCAAATTGGGTATATAAACAGTTCCCTGTTTTTCTAAGAGAATGCAATAAATGTAGTATTGTGGATAAATATTTTTAAAAACTAAAATGTTTCTAGCAGCTAGCAGCTTTATTTAGAATTGCCCCAAACTCGAAGCAACCCAGATGCTCTTCAGCAGGTGAATGGACAAATAAACTGTAGTACATTCAGATGGTACATACGAGTTTTTAAGCCACGAAAAGACATGGAGGAACTTTAGAGGCCTAACGCTGAGTGAAAGAGACTGATCTGAAAGGGCTACATGGTGTATGATTCTATGGATAGGACATTCTGGATAAGTCAAAACTAGGGAGACAATATAGGGGTCCGGTGGTTGCCAGGGATTAGAGGGGAGGGAGCATGAATAGGCAGAGCACAGAAGATTTTGGGGGCAGTGAAACTTCTCCATATGGCAACAACTTCAACCCATGTGCCACAAGAATTTTTCAAATATGCAATATCTGACTAGTCAGGGGCACTGACCTCTGTTCTCTTAGGTTGTCAAATTAAAAGATGACAGCAGCCAGCATGACAATAGCCATCTGGTGTGACTGAAACAAAATTATACCTATTTTTTGTCAGATTGGCAAAATGTATAATATATTTTTTGGAGTGTAACAGAATCTTAGTAATTAGTTTATGTGTGCCATGAGATGAAAAGGTAGAAATTTGCTGCCATAGGATACTAAAATGGTGGATATTCGTCAAAAGCTACAGAATGTACAAAACCAAGCGCTAACGTAAACTATATATACTGTGGACTTCGGGAGATGATGTGGCAATGTGGGTTGATCAATTATAACATAGACACCACTCTGGTGGAGGTGTTGATAACGGGAGAGGCTGTGCACGTAGAGGGGCAGGAGGTGTATGGAAAATCTCTTCATCTTCTGTTCAATTTTGCTGGGAGCTTATAACTGCTCTAAAAAATAAAGTCTACCAAAAAGGTGTAAAATTAATTTTTTTAATTGATTTGAGAGAGAGAGAAACATAAATTTGTTCCACTTACTTAAGCATTCCTTGGTTGATTCTTATATGTGCCCTGGCCTGGAATCGAACCCACAACCTTGGCGTAGTGATGGATGGTCTAACCAAATGAGCTACCTGGCCAGGGCTAAAGTGAAAAAGAAATTTTAAATCCTCGTCCCAAGAATATGTCCATTGATCTTTAGAAAGAGGAAGGGAGAGAGAGAAATATTGACGTGAGAGAAAAACATCAATTGGGTGCCTCATGTACATGCCCCGACTGGGAATTGAACCTGCAACCTAGGTATGTGTCCTGACTGGGAACTGAACCCACAACTCTGGTGCATGGGATGATGTTCCAACCAACTGAGTGACACTGTCCAGGGCTAATGCCAAAAAGTTTTTTAAAGGAAAAAAACGTGGATTGTAAAGCAATAGCATCCCATGTTTGTTACACTGTTTTTAAAAGGAATATAGAAAAGTCTGGAAAGATCTAGTGATGATTTTTATTGAGCAATGTTCTCATGATAGGCATAAGCCCTTTAAATGCACTCTTTTAATTCCCATCAAAATGTCACAGTACGGGTAACAAGAGGAGTGATACTTAATATTCTTCTCCTTCCTCGTAGCCTATCTTTATAACTATTCTCCTATAAAAACAATTACTCCTTGAATAGTGCACACTTACAGTTATTTTTATAGTGAGAAAAAAAAATGCTGCCCTGGCTGGTGTGGCTCAGTGGACTGAGCGCCAACCTGCAAACCAAAAGGTCCCTGGTTGGATTTCCCCGTCAGGGCACATGCCTGGGGACATGGTGGACCAGGTCCCCAGCTCAGGGCGTGAGAGAGACAACCAATTGATGTTTCTCTCGTATATCGATGTTTCTCTCCCTCTCTTTCTCCCTCCCTTCTCATCTCTCTAAAAATAAATAAATAAAATCTTTTTTTAAAAAAAGGAAAAAAATGTTTTGAAAATTTAAAGGACAAAAAAAGACCACTCCCTCCTACCTTCCCAAAACAATTTAGTTTTCTGCAGGATTTGACTTCGAGCCACTCTCCCTCCACTGGTGCTGGGCTCCCAGCTCACACTCCTCAGTGACAGTCACAGGCTCTAGGTCAACAGAGGCTACGCCTGTTCCCAACATGTCCTGTGCCTCGTCAGCTTGCCCTACATCCCTCCTGCTTCCCTGGGGACCACAGATCTGGATGCCAATGAATTTGGATCAACTTATTTCTGTCTTCGAGGGAGTTAGCTGTGGAGGAAGGGCTGAGAAGCCTGGGGGCCTGGGTTGTGACATACTTACAGCTATGAAACCATTGAAGAAAGCTAGCAGTCTCTTCAAGGAAGAATAGGGAGTGTGGATTTCAGCCATGTCAGCCAGACTGCAGTGCACCGGACATTAAGTGGTCATCTTCCTTATCCTCTAGGCTACTGTTTCCTGAGATGGTAGAGGCCTGGGGGGTGGGGGGCAGTAAAGCTGTCTTGCTCTACCCCTACCCCTCTCTGCCCTGGCTGCCCAATCACCTGCAGGGGAGGGGGTCCAGCTGCCACCCCCTTCAGTCATGAGCCTTTATCACATCACAATCGGATGCCGGCGCAAGGCTCCCAGTGCCAAGGAAGTGGGTGCCCCACACTGCCTCCCTGCTGGCTCCTCCAAATAGGATGCACAAGTGGTGGAAAAAGACATGGTGTACCACCCTGGTACCCCAGATGCCACGAGGGTCCTGTGGGTCAAATGCTGAGTACTGACCACTTATGTGATTAGGTGCCCCCTGCTAGACTGGGGGGCTTTAAGGGGGAAGGGGCCTTGGCTGTCCTATTCAAGACTGTCTTCCCAAAGCTGGATACTCAGTAGGTGCTCAAGAAACCAGTGTGGAATGAATGAATCAAGAGACACCATGATGCAAGAATCTAACTACAAGCTACTGGGTCCCCAAAACCCCTGCCCGCACATCAGCTCATTCGGCTCATCCTTCTCATTCACAGGGTCCAGAGAGGCTGAGCTAACTGTTTGAGGTCACACAGGAAGCAGGATGAAGGCGGGGCTTTGAAGCTGTGACTGTGTCATGAAGGTGGGAACCTGTGACTCCTGCCCAAGAACCCATCCTTTCCCATCTGAGGCCCACTCCGCCAAAGCTGGTGAAGTGATTGTCCCTGAGCTCATGTGTCATTGACCACTGGGACTTTCTTGATGATAACACAGATGTGGAGGGCATTTCAGGGTGAAAATTGTGCATGCGGGCAGAAAGCCCTCAGGTCCGGCTCCCGCAGCCCCTCACCCACACCGTCTCCCTGCCTCCCACGCCATCCGAGTCCATGCTACAACACCCCTGCGCCCTCTCTGTCCCGCCCGGGGCTGGAATGTGTCTGCGCTCAGGTCCTGGAGGGCTCAGGGCTTTCAGAATCTTCTGTGACCCCCAGGGCCAAGCTCAAAGGAAGAAAAGACTTTATAGTTGGATTAATCTAATGAATGCCAACTCTTCTAGGTCTTGTAACAGGTGGAACTAAGCAAGATATTCATGGAAGAAGGACTGTCTCCTCCCTGGTCCAGGTCCATGTTCACAGCTAGGAGTACGTCCTTCCACATCTTTCTCTAAATGGTCTTTTAAAATAAGGAGCCTCAGCTAGGGGCTGACGGCCCGAAAATGGGGGTACAAAGGAGGGCGAGAAATGGGGGTGAAAGTGAGCATGAGAAAATGCAGGGTGCAAAGGAGGGTGGAGAAAAGGGGGATGCAAAGTAGGATTGGGATGGAAGTAGCGACGCAAGGAGGACGGAAGAATGAGGGGTGGATAAGGGCTGGGAGGCTGGGAGACAGAGGATGGTGGAGCGCCTACGTCGAAGGGGAGCAACGAGGCTGGTAACTGGGTAAAGGAGGACCCTGTGCGCTGGGTAAGGTGACCCCTCCGAGGCCCCGCCCCTCCCTGGCTCCGGGACCCCGCCTCCGGCTTCACTGCAAGGCAGTGGGCCCGGGTCTCGGTCTCGCGCGCCCTCTGGCGGCTACCAGTGGATACGCGGCCCTACGTTTGTCCCGACTGTGACTCAATCCGCGAATGTCAGGAGAGTCATAAAGCTCCAAGAGTGTAATTTGTGAGGAAATGTAGGGACTAACCCCACCGCTTTAAGCCTCTCAACACACACCCATTGAATTGATGTGAAGAGACAGAATTGCGGAAACATCCTGCGAATTACAAGTGCAGGTCATTTGGTAAAAAAAAACATGCAAGAAACCAGTACAAATTTATCAGTGACACTACAAAGGTTCTTGAAAAATAGCTAAAAGCTCCTCTTGAAGTGGTGCTACAGAGCCATTAGGAGGACATTTAAATACCAATGTAGAAATAACACAAGTCATTTCAATATTTCCTTAATTACAGGGCTTAAGGGTGTGTGGATATAGCCCTAATTTATTTCTCCGCATGCTTGATCTCCTTCCTTGTGTTTTATGAGATGTTTCTTAATGCACAATTTGCAAGAAAAGGGAGTGTCTTAAATACGCATGCGCAGAGACACACACGAGCTAATTTCTGTCAATAGCGCATGTTAGTCTATGAACTGTCCTTAAATTCCTGGATTTCTCATCAACAGCAAGAACAGGAGGTTCAGGAGATAAGTTCAGCTGGTCGACTGTTCACATAAAATTTGCAGCATTGATATATGTTTGTGTTTAGGGCCCATGAAACATGGATCTACCCTTGATGAAAAGTATTTTGTGGTTTACGATATTTTAGCAACAATCATTAGGGGAGGAGATGACAAATCAGAATCCACCACACAACAGAAAAGTCTGGAGCTCAAGAAAGAAAGATACCTGTCCATGCTGCGGCTGGGCTGCCTCCTTGACATCATTCACTCTGGAGTTCCCAGGCCACAGACCTCAGCTCTAACCAGGGTGCATGGATGTTGTCGAGTTATAACATTGTGGGCTGAATTTTTGACGAGAGTAGATGATCATAGCAACAATCGTTGTTGCCAATTGAAAAAGAAGCAGGCCGCGTTTCCACCATTAGGGATTCTTCTGTTTGGCTGATTGGTTTTCAAAAATTCCAGTTATTTTTTCTTCTTCACGTCCTGACTTATTTTTGAGCCTTTGTACTCTGAGTGCCGAGGGCCTGCGGAATGGGAAGTGGGGGTGACAGGAAGGCCCCCATCCTACAGGAACACTCACTGCTCTCGTTTCCTCTGTCTACATGTTAATCTCGAATTTCTGCCCCTTTAGCTCAGCAGAGACTCAGCTTCTGGAAAAGAGGGAGTAAATTAAAGAACACCGAGAGATTTGGGGTGATATTCACAAAATCAGCTACAAAGTACTGCCCAGGCAACAAGGGGCCAGACAGAGCAGGTCTCAGCGATGTCGACTCTGTGGGACTTGGAGGCCAGGGAATTCTTGAGGAGGGCTCAGACAGAGTGGCTACTAACCAGTGGGTGCAGGCGACACTCCAGCTTTTGTTATCATGTGGGTTTTTTTTAAAACAACTTTAACATTTTTAAAAATTGACTTGAGAGAGAGAAAGAAACATTGATTTGTTGTTCCACTTATTTATGCATTTATTGGTTGACACCTGTATGTGCCCTGACTGGGGATCAAACCCTCTACCTTGGTGTAGCAAGGTGACATTCTAACCAACTGAGCAGCCAGGGTTATAATTCCTCTCTTGCCCCGGTGGCTGGTGCCTGGGCAGCCAAAACTCTTCGCATCCCACCGAAAAGCTCAAAAATAGCCTCAGATATTCTGCACCTGTGGGGGTCGCAAGAGGAACCTATAACAACCACAAATGGGACTTCTTAAAGCATGTGAGGAACTCTGGCTGGTGTGGCTCAGTGGATCGAGCACCAGATTAGGAAATCGAAGGGTGGCTGGTTCGATTCCCAGTCGTGGCACATGCCTGGGCTCTTGGCATGTCTCTCTCACATGTTGATGTTTCCCTCCTCCTCTTTTTCCTTCCCTTCCCTTTTCTCTAAAAATAAACAAATAAAGTCTTGAAAAAAAGTGTGTGAGGAGCGATTCCCCTTCTAGAAATTTATGCTACAGATTTATTCAAACACACATAAACCAGGAGTTGGCAAACCCACAGAGTAAATATTTTTTGCTTTGCAGATCATACCATCTTTGTTACCATTCTGCTGTTGTAGCCCAAACAACATGTAAATAAACAGTATGCAAATAAATGCAAACAAATGGGCATTGCAATACCATGATGTAAATAACAAAGAGAATGTTGTTTACAAAAGCAGGTGGCCGGATATGGTTTCGTCAACACCTGTTCTAAAGCCTAGTTTGAGCTGGTGAATGAATGCAAACAACCTAAGTGCCCTTCACAAGCAGACTGGTTAAATTCAACAAGATCCAACCATAGAAAGGTGTTATGGACCGAATTGTCACGCCTCCCCCCAAATTCACCTATTGACATATTGACATGTAGTCAAATCCCCCCAATGTGACTGTATTTGGAGTCATTATGATTAAATGAGGTCTTGTCCCTGGGTGGTGTGGGTCAGTGGATTGAGCACCAACCTGCAAACCAAAATGTCGCTGGTTTGATTCCCTGTCAGGGCACATACCTGGGTTGTGGGCCAGGTCCCCAGTAGGGGGCGTGCAAGAGACACACAGTTGATGTTTCTTTCACACATCTATGTGTCTCTCCCTCTCTTTCTCCCTCCCTTCCCCTTTAAAAATAAAAATAAATAAAATCTTTTTTAAATGATTTTTTAAAAAAGATTAAATGAGATCCTAAGGGTGGGCCCCTGATCCCATAGGATCAGTGCCCTTATAAGAAGAGGAAGAGACACCAGAGACCTCCCTGTGCAAAGACATAGGAAATGCTGAGTGAGGACACAGCAAGAAGCTAGGAAGAGGACTCTCAGCAGAAGTCAGCTCGGGCGCATTGATCTTGGACGTCTAGCTTCCAAACAATAAGAAAATAAATGTCTGTTGTTTAACCCATGCAATCTGTGGTGTTTTGTTACTATGGTCCAAGCTCATGCAGACCCAAGTGATCCTCTGTAGCTAAGAAAATGCATGCCGAGTAGCAAAAGTACTCAGAGACCTGCATGAGAAGTGCTCCAAGTGGACGGTCTCTTAGGTGAAGAAATAAGGTGCAAAGCCACAGGTATGGAAGGCATGAATGATAAACACACTGTGCTCTATCCACACAGGGGAATATTATTCAGCCTTAGGAATGAAGGAATGAAGCTCTGACACATGTTAGTGTGGATGAACCTCCAAAACATCACGCTCAATAAAAGAAGCCAGGCACAAAAGGCAACTTGTTGTCTGATTCTCTCTCTATGAAATGTCTGGAACTGGCAAACTGGTAGAGGCAGAAAGTAGATTTGCTCTTGCCAGGGCCTGGGGCGGGGGAAGTGGGACTGCT